CGAGGTCAAGACTAGTATCGCTAGCTCTGTGGGAACGCTGGCCAGTACTGTCCAAAGATCTTGCTCAGGGCTCGCAGTTCAGGTGGAACGACGCATGGCATCAGTGGAGCTCAACCTCAATAACTATAAAAATACCACCGACAAGCGGTTGGACGATATGGGCGACCAGATCAAGGAGCTGCAGCGGCTCGTTGGCGTGCTTCGCTCTGAAGAACCCGCACCTCCTCCGATTGTGGACCGCACCGTCTTCGACAGGAAGCCCGACGGAGCGATCTTGGTGGCCAGGACCCGCAATGCTGTACCGAAGGAGAACTTCCGCACCGCCCTTCGTCCGCTCCTCGAGCGCAACAATATAAGTATGGACGAGTGCACATTCGAAGGTGCGGAGATGGCATCTCGACAACACGTTCGGCTTCGTGGCCATGTTAATTATACCTCTCGGAAGATCCACCAGTTACTGGGATCATTGCGGGACTCTCAGACTGGACAATGGGAACGACTCTCTATTGATGATGCGCAAGGTGCGCGCCAGGACATGTACATCGATTCAGACAAGAGCGCATGCCAGATTAAGCGTGAGCAGTTGGTCAAGCAGATTCGCAAGACGTGCCAGACGATATACCCCGCCAAGAGGTTCCACGCTGATCGGACAAAAGGAATTGTGTCTGTGGGTTGGAAGCCGATTATCAAGGTGGAACCCAACCCGAACGAGCTTCCCCCGACGGTCGAGTGGTCGGCCGAGAACATCATCGCCGAGGGCATCGACAAGACGAAAGTCACTGATGCCATCGCTGAGTTCGTGTCAGGACCGCCTCCAGTGCAGTGGTCCTAACATTTTGTTTGCGGCCTGGTGCCGCGCGCATCCGTCTCATGCCCCTCTCTCCTGTGGTTCCTGGAATGCTCGTTCTCTCTTCTACTTCAAACCTCACCGCAGAGACAGGAAGCTCAAATACCTGAAGAAGATGGTAGGCCAGGGTACTCTTCTGGGGATTCAAGAGTCTCACGGCACTCCCGCCCAGATTGACAACATGATATATCGTCTTCGTCTCCCTGTTCGTGCTTTTCACCCGCTTCTCCCTCTTGATCCTCACCCCGCTGGAGGCGTCATCACTCTCGTTCCTGACTTCAAGTCGGCTGGAGCTGAGCACCCGCCGCCGGTTAGGGACACCCCTCTCGTCCGTGGTCGGGCTTTGAATGTTCGGTTGGAATTTAGCAATGGGGCTAGGATCTACCACTATAACATTCACAATTTTGGGCTATCTAGGGCACAACGGGACATGATCATTGAGGCTATCTCCAGGGACCTCGAGGCGGCTTTTGAGGACCCAGAGAGGATCTTGGTCATCGTAGGTGGCGACTTCAATATTTCCTCAGCGCCCCCGATCGCTGCAAACAAGGACTCACCGTTCACGATCACCCAGGGCCAAGACTGGAGGCGCTCGCAGTGCCGCTTCTGGAACCGACTCTTCGGGAAAATGACGGAAATCGAACTGAACGAACCGACTCATTTCAACGCAGCTCGGGGCACGCTGAGTAGTATTGATAGGCTATTTGTCTCTTCTCCAGGCTGGTGTCTGACCCAATCATGCACGGGAGGTAAGACACACGGGCAACCAGAGACCCTCAGCGACACCCTCATCTCTGACCACGTGGGGATCTCGTTCACCATGTCTCAGAGGTCAGAAACCAAGCCAGAGGAGCGCGCGATCCCGAATGAGATTTTCCGTCGGCCTGAGTACCAGGCCAACTTGTCCAAGATTATGGCGCAAGTGGACACATCGCAGCTCTCTCTCCCCCCCTCCTCATCGACTGCCACAAGACGATGATGCGTGCAGCCGCACGAGCGACCCGCGACGCGATCATCCGACACAAAGCTCATGACCCTCTTTCCCGTCTGATTATCCTGAGAACGATTTCGAGAGCGATATGGCAGCAAAATGTCCCTCTTGCCCGTCGCGTGATCAGCGCGCGCCCACTTGGCGCCAAGTTTATCCATATCAGTGCCGACTGTACTCGGGTGGAGCTTGTGGACCCACCGGCCTTCCAGTTGGCCACCGAGCAGGAGCATGGCCGCCTGTTCGAGTCTGCCAAAGAGTTTGCGAGCAAGCAGTTGCGGAACTGCGAGATCGGCCCGCCCAAGGCAAAGCTTCGCCAACGGATCCGAGGTCTTCAGAAAAGAGGGCGCTTATGGGCCCCATTCGACAGAAAACTTTGTCTCCGAGGGATTCGACCCACTCCTGACCCTGAAAGCAACATCAAGGCGATCACGCCCCCCTCGGACATGCTGGATCAGTCGGCTAGGCACTGGGCCCCTGTGTTCGAGGCCAAGGCTACCGATGGTGCTGCTGCTCGGCACTATTTGGACCGCTTCGGCTTCGGAGCCGACCTGAGCGACCTACCTCCACCAACAGAGTTCGATATTCAGAAATGTCTTCGGAAAATTGGTTCCAGCGCCCCAGGGCCCGATCAACTGCCGTATGATGCTTGGAGATGCCATCCTGAAGGCTCCAGAGTCCTTTGGAATGCTCTTTCCTGGGTGTTGGAGGGTAAGTCGCTGCTTCACGGTTTCAACGAGCTTCGCGGAGCATTTCTTGCCATAGGAGAAGAGGATGGAGATGAGGTCCAGGTCCTCCGTCACGCTAGCCAGACTCTCCCCCTTGGGCTGAAAAACGCCGATATCAAAATTCTTACCAATGTTTGTTGTCGAGCTCTCACCCGCCGTCTTCCTCGCCTGGTACATCACACACAGAGGGGATTCATACCGTCTCGGAACTTTGGCGAGAATGTGCTAGAGTTAGATACAATGAGCCGCATCACGTCCATGGAGGAGGAGGTGGGCACACGGTTACCAGTGCTAGTTGCTTTCGATGTTGGTCAAGCTTTCCCATCAATAAGTCATGACTGGATATTTAGGATATTAAAATCACTCTCTCTTCCTGGTCCCCTCTTTGGGTTCTTGAGTATGATATACATGGACGTCTGGTGCATGGGAGGGATTGATGGCGGGCTCCGTGTTCTATTTCCTATCGGCTCTGGGATTATCCAAGGGTGCCCTGCATCGGGGATGCTCTACGCGTTATCGTCGCACCCGTTCATGCTCCACTTCGAGGCGCTTGTAGAAACACCTAAACTTGGACTCGTGAGGGCCTGTGCTGATGACGAGGGTAGCGTGCTTTTTAGAAACACAGCCTTGCGAAAACTGTTCACGGTTTTCAAGGCTTGCAAGCGAGTCGCGAACTTAGAACTCAAAGTCAACAAGTGCGTGCTGGTCCCGCTGGTTGGGATTTCTCCCCCAGGGTCGCGAGGCTGTATTCGTCTTGGCTCCAGGCCAATATCCCCGAATGGGCCGAGTTTAAAATCGCCAGTTTCCTGAAATACCTTGGGCTTCAGATCGGACCAGGTGCTGGCCAGGCCTCATGGACAGGACCTGTAGGCAAGTGGACTAGTCGTGCCACTGCCATCGCCGCCGCTGGTGCGCCGCCACCGATCACTGCGATGTTATATGACAGTCGGGCGCTCTCTACTTTGTCGTATGTCAGTCAATTCCAGCGGTTACCATATAACGATATCGCTCGTCAGGAGCACCGATTATTCGAGATGATGTTTAAGATGCCACACTGTTGCCTCTCGCGTGCTGACTGGCTTCACCTCCACGAGTGGGGAGGCCCGAAGGTGAGAAGCGCTGTCCTTATGAATATGGCCACGCTAATTCGTTCTGCTATCAAGACCCTTTCGATTTGGGCCGAACTTTCGACAACGCTCGAAGAGAGAGCGCGTGAGTGCTTGCCCATTGCTGCTTTCATCAGAGGCCAAAGGTACCCACCCTTCCGGTCAAGTCCCTGTCTTGTGCATGAGCTGCAAGAAGCAGCAAATGGCTTCCCATCATATCCCAAGTGGCAGCACGCAGGTCAGCTTGCTATCAGTGCCGCGGCTGATGCTCCATGTAATAGCGACAAAGTCCAGGGGGCGGCCCTAGCCCAGCTGTCCACCCATCTCTTTCCCTCGACTCTTGTCCGTGATTTCTCCGCTCGTCTCCTCCATCTCTTCCCAGGCAGTGCCCGTGCGATTGGCAAAATTCCCTGGACTGACGTCCAACGCTGCATCAAGATGTGCCCACAATCGTGGGGCAACAGCTTTGTGAAGACCCTCGCTGGAGGGTGGACCACAGACAGCAGATTTCAGGGCACTGGCCATGCCTGTGCATTCGGGTGCGGGTGCGGTGACTCACAGGCTCACTATTTTCAGTGCCCCCGCATGAGAGCTCTTTTGAGACGTGTACTCCACATTTCTTTTTTCTCTCCTTGCCCTATCCTCCGTCTCGGTCTCTGCCATCCCACTCCCATCGGATTCTCATACTTGGTGGCCGCGCACCAGCTCTACTGCGTCGCCTCCTCCCGTCCTTCCCTCCCGTTGAGTCCTGCCGATGCGGTTGCTTTGCTCCCGACCCTCTCCTCCTCCATCGCACCCCTGTCCCGATCTGCTCTCCAAGAGAGCAGCGCAACGGGAACCAGCAGTACCACAGAATCTTCACCGCGGGCGCCGGCGGGCGGCGAGGGCGCCGAGCCTGCCGCCGCCGCTGCTGCCGCCGCCTCTAGTCGTTGTAGTCAGTCAGGATGATGAACTCAGACTCATCGGTACGAGCGCAGGAGGAGGAGGAGGCAGGAGGAGAAGGAGGAGGAGGAGGAGGAAGCGGAGGAGGAGGAGGCAGGAGGATGAGGCAGGAGGAGGGCGCCCCCAGGAGGAGAAGGAGGGAGACGAGGCAGAAAAGGGGGAGGAGGAGGAGGAGGAGGAGGAGGAGGTGGAGGAGGAGGAGGAGGAGGAGGAAGAAGAAAAAGAGGAGGAGGTGGAGGAGGAGGACAAGGAGGAACACCTCACGCTCCTCCTCCTCCCCAATCTTAATCCTCTTCCTTCTCTTCCTCATCCCCCTCTGCGTCCATCCTCGTCCCGTCCCTCCTCTCTGCGAGGACAAGCTGGACACCCCCACCGAGCTATTCGAGGCGATGTCCGACGAGCTGAAGTGTCCATATGAAAGCTGGGCCACCCCAGCCGCCGCGGCCCCACGACATCGAAATCCAGATCCATTCGAGGAGGAGGAGGAGGAGGACCAGTGTACATCCAAGACCCATCAGCGGTGCTGGAACGTGCCCTCCCTCCAAGCTCCCTCTTCACAGGCCTCTACAAGGATTCATTCCCACTCGGGAGGCAACCGTTCGAAGATTCTGAAGCATGCCACAAACATCATTCCCATCACTTCGACGTCACGAGTCAACTTGACTGTTGCGTCTTGACGATCCTGAGTCGTGCCAGAACACCAACCCTGCGAAGTCAACACCGCAAATCAGCGTACATGATGCGCCCTGACAATCCTGAACCGTTCCAAGACACCATTTCTGGTACGTTGACCGTGAGAATCCGCCAACATGTTGAAAATGGTCAAACGGATATACGCGGCGCTAAGGCGACAGCCACATTTTGAAAAGGAGCCGCCCTCATCCCGTGAAACTCTGGCAACGTTTGAAAGCAAGTGCACGCGGCGCTGAGGACAGAGCCACATTTTGAAAACGACCCGCCCTTAATCCGTGAAACTCGTGCAAATGTTTGAGACGAATGTGCGGGGCGCTAAGGCGAGAGCCGCATGTGGGAAACGACCCGCCCTCCATCCGCGAACCTGTTGCCAGCGTTTTAAGGACGCCTCAGGCGAAACGCCCGGCCCGCCCTTCCGACTGGCCTCGGGGTGCGATTAGGGGGAGTTATTCACAAGGAAAAGAATGGAGGAGGAGGAGGAGGAGGAGGAGGATAACACTATCGGATGGTTGGTACTTGGCGATCCTTGCGATCACGTGAAGGTGAGAAGATTCAAGTACGTTGGAACCCATCCCTCCGGTCGTCTCCGGGGGGGGGAGGAAGAACAGAAGGAGGACGACCAGAGTGAATCCAAGATGCGCCAACGATGCTGGAATAAACCTTTCTGTCTCAAGTCCCCCCTTTTATGAGTCCCTAGAGCTATTCCTTTCCACTTCGGGAAGCGTCACCCTTGACAGACCAATGCCCCAGAGGGGGGCTGCCACTCAAGCGAGACCCCGTCTGGTAAGATGAAATAGTAGCATCTAGACGGGCAATGCAAGGAAGTGTTCTGGCTGCCACGCAGGCGAGACCCCGTTTTGTGAAGAATCCATGTTCCACATCGGCTTCGATGGAATGCAATCTAGGTGGGACCATCGAGTGCAAGGAAGCGGTGAGGCTGCCAGTCAGGCGAGACACCTTTTTGTAAAGGGCGCGCGTTCCACATGCATGGTTAGCTAGGTAAGGCCATAGAGCTGGAGCCAGCGTTCAGAGTGCCACTTATGTGAGACCCCATTTGATAAAGGATCCATGTTCCACATGCGCGCGTCAGTGAGTGCAATCTGGGTGGGCCCATACAGCTTGAGGAAGTGTGCAGGCTGCCACTCAGGTGATAACCCGTATTGTGAAAGGATACGCGTTTCACATCCCTGGTTGGATCAAAAGCACTCTAGGTGGGGCCATAGAGGTAAAGCAAGCGTTCGGGCTTCCACTCAGGCGAGAGCGAATTTTGTAACGGCTCCACTTTCCACATGTCTGGTTAGATGCGTTGATCAAATCTAGGCGGTCGGGCCATACAGCTCAAGGAAGCGGTCGGGCTGCTATTCATGCGAGACCCCGTTTTGTACAGGATCCGTTTTCCACTTAAGTCATTGTGACAAGCAATCTAGGTCGGGCCAAAGAGTTCAAGGAATTGTTCAGGCTGCCACTCATGCAAACGAGGTGCAATATAGGTAAGGCCATCGAGTGCAAAGACGCGTTCAGGCGTGTAAAGAACGCGCGTTCCACATTCCTGGTCAGATGAAGAAATGCAATCTGGATGGGCCCATAGAGTTCAAGGAACCGGTCAAGCTGCCATTCAGGCGATACCCCTTCTGTAAAGGATCCCGTTTCCACAAATTTGGTTTGAGGAAATGCGATCTAGGTGGGGCCGTGGGCCATAGAGTTCGAGGAAATGTTCAGGCTGCCACTGAGGCGAGACCCCGTTGTGTAAAGGATCAACTGTCCACACGCCTGGGTAGATGATATGCAATCTAGGTGGGGCCATCGAGTTCGAGGAAGTGTCAAGGCTGCCATTCAGGCGAGACCTCGCTTTGTAAATCTTGTTACACAAGATGCAATCTATACGGGGCCACCGAGTTCAAGGAATTTTCCAGGCTGCCATTCAAGTGAGACCCCGTTTTGTAAAAGATCCACATGCAACCCCGGTGGGGCCATAGATTTCAAGGAGGTGTTCAGGCTGCCACTCAGGCGGCGCCCTGGTTCCTCAAGAATCCACGTTCCACATGTCTGTTTAGATCAAATGCAATTCCGGTGGGGCCATCGGCTTCAAGGAAGTGGTCAGGGCGCCACTCACACGTTAACCCGTTTTGTAAACGATCTACGTTGCACACGTTTGGATGAATGAAATGCAATCCCCGTGGGGCCATCGAGCTCAAGGAAGTGTTCAGCGAGAGCTCCGTCGCGAAACGGCTATGCCCTCCATCCGCCGAGCGCTGCACACAGTGAAAGCTGTTGCCCTAACTGAGTTCGAGGAAGTCTCAACCGAGAGCCCTCTTTGAAACGATGAGCCGCCATCCGCTCTCTTCATCGCTGCACAAGGCCGAACGTGTTCAGGTCTTAAGCCGTGTGAGCAAAATCTCGCGCGGGAGTTCCACCCGAAGACGGACTAACGGCGATGTAGGCAACGGCGATGTAGGTTGCGGTAGTGTGTGGGAGCGCGTGGTTCGCGCTTTCCTACAATTCGTTGTTTCGTGTTCGCTCGATCTTTTCGCAGATTGGACGTGCAGGAAAGTGCGGCTCGTGATGTCACCTAAACGTTGGTTCCCGCCATCACTTTTGAGCAACATTGCCGTTAAAGTTAGCCCGGCCTTAGTCCACGCTGAAAAGGAATCGCCTTCCGTCTCTGCATGTGCTGGAACTGCTTCGGACGAATGTGCGCGGCGCCACAGCGAGAGCCCCTATGCTGAACGCACACTGTCCTCCACATCGTGCAACTTTCTTGGAGATGTGTATCCAATATGGGATCGGCTACAGAATCGATAAACTCCAAAATTGAAATTCCCGTCGACTCTACGGAGACAAGACGCATTATGTTCGTACATGTACGAACATTATTTGTTGTTTTCCTTTAGATTCGACGAACAAAGGCATTTGGGGGTAACTGAATGTTGTAGTCGATTCCTATTTGAGTGTAAGACGCACGTGGGCGCGGCGCCAAGGCGAGAGCCCCATGTTGGACACGACCTGCACTTCGCCCGTGTCACTGCTGGAGACTCCCAGCATCAAAATCACAGATTTCGGCGGCGAGCGAGGGGGGGAACTTCGAGGTTCGAGGCTCGAGGCGGTTTTTCATCGTTGCCGTCCTCTGGGGGCCGTTTTCGGGCCCCGGGGACCTCGAAACTAGATCCGGGGTGAACAACCCCGTCGGATGGACCCCGGGAGGGGTCCAGGGACCGATTTTGACGGATATTCGGCGGGGGAAGTGAGAAGGAGAAGGCCCTCTCAGGAGGCGGCGGGTTTTCTCAGAAGCCCTCGGGCCTTCTAAGAAGTGTTTCCTGCCCCTTCGGGGAAGGCTCAGAAAACTTGTCGGAAGGCCAGGGGACTTCCGAGCCTTTGAGAAGGCCTTCTCCTTCTCACTTCCCTCTAGGCTCGCCGCCGGCACAGACTGTGAGGCGGCAACATACCAAACGTCCGGCCCGCCCTGACGGCACGCCTGGTGGTACGACAGGGAAGAGCTGTCATAAGGAAGCGGGATGCAGGAGGAGGGAAGACGGACGAGTAGGAGAAGAAGGAGTGGGAGGAGCAGGAGGATGAGGAGGAGGTGGATCAGGAGGAGGAGGAGGAGAGGAAGGAAGAGGACGAGGACGCGTGAGCAAAGGGGAGGCTCTGGGAGAGGGAGAGAAAGATGACGAGCATGAGGAGAGGGAAGATGAAGTGGACGAAGAGGACGGCGCTGGTTTCCAGAAGAGTCCGGGCAAAATTGCAGTAATGTGGTAGTAATTGGGTGAATTTCGATGTTTGGGGTCCTCCAGCTTTCGGCCCGTGGGACACTGGACGGTCCGAGATACGCGTCTACGACGTGCCCATGCGCAGCAGGGCGGAGTTCGAGAGCTACCTCGCGAGGTACAGTACCGAAGGGGGGCTTCCCCAAGAGCGCCAGAGGTTTCTGGAGCCGTGTGTTTATGCCTCGTCGAAGGTGCGACTCAGATATTGCACCCGCTCGCAGCTGGCAGGTTACTTGCTAAATTATATATCAGATCGAAAATCGTACAAGCTGCTGTCTGCGAATTGCCAAACTTTCTGCGCTGACCTCTTCAGCTTCTTATCCGGCGATCGCAGTGCGAAGCCATACGGTCATCTTGTACAAGCCAATTATTCTAATCACGTGCAGTCTTTCTTGTACAAGCCTGGGCGTGAGTAAATGTATGGCTTTGTGCCCCACCGTTGGCAAGGAGACGCCATACTTCTACTCAAGTCGCAAGCGCCCGTGCTACGAGTACGTCGGCAGGCCAATGAGGTGTTCACGATACAGCTCTGAAAGACCCATACGCTCTGCATGAGATGAACGGCCATGGTATGACCACGTGGTAGCCATGCTTTGGTACACCTCCGCAACGTGATGATGCGGTTCAAGAAGTGACTATTAGTTGCTTGCGGGGCACTACCGAACAGTGACGAGACAGCTGCGGCGGCGGAGCCGTTTGGTATATCGAAGACGTTTGCGGCGAATCACCGCCGCACCCTGCCTTCTGGATACGTTTGCGTTGTAACATATCGAGCGAAGGTGCGACCATGTCAGTGGATTGCGTGTTGCCCAGCGCTTGTGGGAACCATTGGGGGTATACTTGGGAGGGGCCCTCTGGAATCATCGTGGGGCTCTTTTGGGAAGTCTTCAGGTGCGCTCGGGCCGTATGGCACCTGCGGGTGCTGCCTTTGGGGTGGATGTGGACGTCTTGGGGGCCTCTTGGGACTCTTGAGTCTTGAGATTCTCTTGGGCAGTCTTAGGGCCCTCTTGGGTCGATCCTGGGGGCCTCTTGGCCAGCTTGGTCGTTCGGAAGCCCGAGGGGCGAGAACGCGAAGCCAGAGGAAAACCAAATTAGATAAATGATTCGGCTTCTGGGGGCTGGGCTCCTGGAGGTGCCTTGAGCCCTCCTGGTACGTCTTGGGAGCCTCTTGGGACCGTCTTGGGTCCGTATGGTAGGCCTTCTCGGAGCCATTTTGGACGGAAAATCCAGCTTGATCCAATGTTTTCGGTGGCGATTGCGTGGGCCGAGATCCCATTGGGAACTGTTCCGAAAGGCCAACAGAAGCCAGGAAGTCCACCACGCCAACACCTCTCCAGCAGGCAGCGGGGGCGGCAGATCTTGGAGACCTCTTAGGAGCCCAGGAGGCCTATCGAGGGCCTCATCGGAGCCTCTTGTAGCCTCCTGGGGGCCTCTTTGGAGCCTCTCGGGGGCCTGCTGGCGGTCGTGGGGGTCATCTTGGTACAGAGGACTCCAACTGTCAGTTCGAGCTCCCTGCTTGAGCTCCTTTTTGGAGCTCCTTTGGGGGCCTCTTGGACCAGCCTGGGCGGCTCGGTGGCCGCCTTGAGGCGATCGTGGAGACCTCTTGGGAGGTCTTTGAGATTCGACTTTTCAGATAGAAAGCTGGCACTGTTTTCATACGACAACAGGAAAAGCGAACGCTGACAATGTTAAACCCTTACTGGAGAGCCGAATTGGAAGATGTTGGCCCTGCCAGCCGCCGAGACGGCCAAAGAGACTGTCGAGGGGGCTCAAAGACGGTCCTTTCAGACCCTCGCTCTGGCAAGTGTGGAAGCGTGGCTTCCGAGCCACGCCCCCTCTCCTCCTCATGAGCACCAGTGAATTCGATGACTTGAGTCCTGGGTTCTTGAAAGGCAATGTTCATCCTTGAGGATGCTAAGGGGCTCGAGCGCACTCCACTCAGTGTCTACAGTGCGGTGGCGGATTTGTGGCAGACGACAGGCAGCCTCATCAGATCAAGGCGAAGCCGCGCGGCAGCCAGAGGGCGCCAAAGATGAATTTGACAAGGGTTCTGAAGTTGGTTGCATGCGTACGCAAAGCACGGGTACATGTGCAGACACGGCGAAGAGGTTGCGTACAGAGTCCGTGATGACTCGCGCATCTTTGCCGAGCTGTCGCAGAAAGGGCATTGAAGAAGCATCAACGGACAAAAAGAAAATTACCCCAGTGCGACCCTACCTAGGAGTTGGAGCATTTAGGACAGCAACATCTACATCTACACCGACAGCTACAGTTACATATACACCTGCATCTACATCTACATCTACATCAACAGCGAGACTCACATCTACATCTAAATATACATCTACATCTACATCTACATCTACATATACACCTACATCCACATCTGCACATACACCTACATCAACATATGCACTTCCCTATGAGAATAGGAGGCTATGCTAGCATAGCAGGCTATGCTATGCTATGCTATGCTGCGCTATGCTACGATATGCTATGCTGCGCTATGCTATGCTATGCTATGCTGCGCTATACTATGCTAGGCTATGATATGATATGCGATGCTGCGCTATGCTCTGCTCTGGTCTGCTATGCTATGTTATGATATGATATACTGCGCTATGCTGCGCGATGCTATGCTATGATATGCTATGCCGTGCTAGGCTAAGCATTGCTATGATATGCTATGCTGTGCTGCGCTATGCTATGCAATGCTATGGTATGATATGCTTTGCTATTCTGAGCTATGCTATGATATGCTATGCTATGCTATGCTATGCGTGGTCATGATATGCTATGCTATGCTGTGCTAATGCTGCGCTGCGCTATGCTGCGCTAAGCTAAGGTAAGCGAAGCTAAGCTGAGCTAAGCTAGGCTAAGCTAAGCTAAACCAAGCCAAGCCAAGCTAAGCTAAGCTAAGATGAGATAAGTTAAGCTAAGCTAAGCTAAGTTAAACCAAGCGAGGCTAGACAAAGCTAAGCTAAGCTAAGCTAAGGTGAGATAAGATAAGCTAAGCTAAGCTGGGTGAACCCAGGGGGCGCAACTGGGGGAACCGCGGGGCGGGGACCGGGGGAACCGCCCGGGGCGCTTTCCATTGCCCGGCCCCTTAAGCTAAGAGAGTAAGAACCCTTCTAGGCAGAGCCTAGGTAGGGAATTACACGTTCAGCCAAAGCAGGCGACAGCCCAAACAGCCCCAAACAACTTGCCTACGTGGGGTCCAGTGGGAACATTGTGGAGGCCTCGTAGAGCCATGCTGGGGCTCTCTCGACCACTTTGGGGGATGTTCTGGCCTTCGGAGGTCTCTCGAGGCCATGCCGAAGAGCATCGACAAGGAAGCGGGAACACCCAGCTAGGGCTTCATGTTTGTGAAGCCACAGAAATGGCATCCCGGGCCTTCATGGATCTCCCTTGGGTACTGTCAGGGGCCTCTGGCGCCCTTTCTGGGCCCTTCTTGCGGCTCTCCTGCGCGATCTCGGGGCCACACAGGCTTCAATGGCCCGCGACGCGGAACCTGCGAGAGAAGGCCAGAACCGTTTGATAAAAACAGAGCTCGACCTACACGGTGTTTGGGTGATTTTGTGGGGCGTTCTCGTCTCGATGCCGTTTTGCAGCAGACGCGGAACGACGAGGAAACAGGAACACAACGAGAACGCTAAACGCTTTCAGGTCGATCCCAGGATCTAAACTCATCACCTCAAGTAATTGGGCTCCTCAGGGAGGCATCCACGGGAGGCTCGGGGGCGACCTCGAAGCCATCTGGATACCTTCTCGGGACCTCCTTGGAGCCATCCTCGGGGCACTTTGCTCGGCTTTCTTGAATGGTCCACACGCCATGCTTGCTACATTGCAGTGACCACCGGGCTTTGAAATGAGACGCGTCCACAGCCACGAACGGGCGTTTCGTTCGAGAGATCCCCATAATCTAGGCGCGAACGAACGTACACACAGGAGGAGGACGAGGAGGAGGAGGACGCATGAGGAGGAGAAGGAGGAGGAGTAGGTCGGAGGAGGAGGAAGAGGAGAAGGAGGAGGAGGATAATTTAGGAGGAGGAGGAGGAAGAGGATGAGGAGGAGGAGGAGGAAGAGGAGGAGGAGGAGGAGGAGGATTGAGCAGGAGGAGGACGGAGGAGGAGGAGGAAGAGGAGGAGGGTTTTGAAAAAGGGCGTCCACAGCCGTGAAATGGCATTTCGCTCGAGGCACCCTGGATTCCTTTGGACTTGAAGCGTAGGTGCCTTCTCCAGGGGAGGGGGCCGTCTGGCGAGCGAGTAGGCAGTGGGTTGACTCGACCCACTCCCAACTGCTCGCAGTGCTAAATTTCTAGCCCCTCCTGTGTATGTTTGCTGTTGGCCTGGTGCCTCGTTCTCGGAGCCCCTCGTCGTTCTCTGGAGCCTCTGGGGCCCCCTCGCAGCAGCCCAAAGCTTGCGCCTGCCGCCACGCCTTGGCCAAGGCGAGGTCAGACGAGGAAGCACAGGGCAAGGCACGCGGCATGCCTCCAAGATTGCGCTGGCTGGGCCATGCTGATCCAATGAGATGTCCAGCATGGCGCCCACCAGCCCCAAGATGGCTCCGAGGTCGCCTCCGTAGCCATTTGGGCTCGAGCCGACTGTCAGCGTGCAAAGCGAGCTTTCAGGTGGCAGCGGTGACGCATGATTTCGTAAACACCAGCAGAAGTCAGTACTCGGGGAGTGGGTGGTGTGAGATACCCGCAGCGCCATAGAGGCGTTCGACGTACGTGCAGGTCCTCAGTACAAAACTGAGAAGTTCCAGGCAATTCTTCTGACACGCATCGATGAGTTGGGCATGCACGCAATACTGAACAATGCAATTCACCGAGCAGTAAGGAGCTCTAAGCTTCGGTTCATTGCACGATCTGGCTGCAGGTTGTCCTTGCAGTCCTCTGATTTCGCATCTGCTTTGAAGTTTGACTCGCCAGGCGTACTGGCATACTCAAAATCACCACTAGCCACGTTGGGCGAAAAGACAAGTGGCGAGGTATTGGCGACGCTAACCCGCAGCTTTCTTGCAGAACTGCACCCTTCATCTGAACTGCTTGATTGCGTGCCTGGCTTTCGTGTTAATGGGACACGGAGGGGTGTGCGGGGAGGCGCGTATGATTGGCGGATGGACGGACAACGAGTGGAATGCAAGAGTGGCCGAATGCTTTGGATGCGGGACAGGTGGGTGCTCCGGTTTAGTAACATCAAGTGGCGTTGCGACGACTCGGTTGACGGCAAGGCGTTCGATCGGTTGTTCTTAGTTTTCCACGATCCAAGACATTTGCGCATATACGAGCACTATCAAATTGACTTCGGGAAGTCTTGCAGAGGTCCTGGGCTTACTTTTGCAGGCTCCGTGAGGCATGTTTGTTGGGCAGATGCTTTGATTCACATCACCCAAAAGCTAGGGAGACAAGGTTCTCAAATCGCTCAGATCCCATTAGCGGATGCCCGAGTCAAAGCAGCGATATTTGCCCATCAGTGTGAGAATATGCTACTTGCTTACGTGGGGGTGCCACTCTCTGATTGCAGCGCTTCGTCACGAGGTGTGCGTATCCAGCGAATAGTTCGCGCGGTCGATGAGATGGTACATGCAGGGGCTGTTTTCGGGAATCCGCACGATGGTTTCTGCGTTAACGGCATGCGCCGGGGTGAGCACAGGTCGACGTACGATTGGGTTCGTGGCCGTGCGCGTGTGGAATGCAAGAGCGCCCAATTATCATGGAGCAAAGCACGCCAGTGTTGGATATTTTATTTTCAGAATATCGACTGGCCTTCGGCCCATTCCGCCACGGAGCCTGCGTGGTGCGTTATAGGCTTCTGGGATGTTCGTTTGAATGTTGTTTGAGGCCTCTTGACGGCTTCTTTGGGGCCGTTTTGAGGCCTCTTCCTTGGGGCCTCCTGGGGGCCTCTTGGGGCGGAAGACTCGGATTTTCGGGTCGTGTTCCAAGGCTGTCTTTGGGCCGTCTTGGGCGCTTCTGGGGCCGTCTGGGAGTCCTCTTGGGCCGTGTTGGGGCCCTCCTGGGGGCCTCTTGGGCTGTCTTGGGGCGGTCCTTGGGGCCTCTTGGGCCGTCTTGGAGCGTCGGGAGGTCGGAAAGCCGAGGACTCCGAAAGCATGGGAAACCTATGGGGAATCAATGATGTTGGCATCTTGGGGCCCTCTTGGGAAGGCTCTTGGGGCTCTCTTGCGGCGTGGACCATCTTGGGCGTATTGGTGCGATCGTTCGGCGACGAGTGGCCTTCCCGGACCGTCTCGGGGGCCTCTTAGGGCCTTCTTGGCCCGTCTAGGGCCCATATTGTGCCAGAAAAAGTCATGCGAAAAGCTGCCGGGAACCCCAGGGGGCACGCGAGACGTTCAGGAAGATTTGGCATTGGGGCTCTGGGCCCTTTAAAGCCTCAGAATTACCCAAGGGATTCGGCAAGGGGGACGAAAGCGGACACCTCCTACTTCTGCCACAAAAAAAGGGATTCAGCAAAGGACCTGAGGACACGCCCACTCCGTGCCCAGCGGCACGGTGGCAGATAAAGATGAGTGCTTCAGAGGCCGCTTTTGACGAGTTGCTCCTCGCACTTTACAGTCCACGTGGCATACACATTTACCGCCACGATCTCACGTTCCGCCTGTCCGGGAATGGAAGTACAATTACGTTGACAGCGCCGCGAAGCGTACCTAATTGGTCTCAGGCTCTTGATCGAATTCTCGTAATGCTTGATAGCTCTGAGTGCCAACATGTGGCATTTGTTTCTTGGCCGACCGGATCTAACACAACAGAAGATGGCCTTGAGATCGCCCCAGGGCATCCCAGGGATCCCCCGAGAGGTCGCTGATCCTGGTCTTCTCGCGTGTGCGGCTTCTGGTAGGCCTCCTGGGGCCGGAAGGTGGCCCCGAGATGGCCCGACAGGCACCGCACCGCGTCGGCGTGCCCCGAGGCGTCGTCAGTCTTCGGCCCAGGAGTGGTACGGTGCACATCTCTTCGGCCTCCGGGGCCGGAAAACGGTGCACCCTGCCGCGCTGGAGCAGAGCCTGACGGGAGTCCAAGCACGGTACAGTCAACCCGCGTAGCAAGGATGGGCAACCTTCCCAAGGGTACCCTTGCATCCTTGCCCCTCCAGCCCATCCTCGGCAACTTTCGCTGGCCGAACTTGTTCGAAAGACGGTCGCATGGGCCTCCAGGGCGCTTGCGTCCTCACCGCGCATCGGGTTGGCTGTGAGGCGCGTTTGCGCTGTTCCCGTACCAGGATCAGGAGAGGAAAAAACACACAGACACAATTAATCCTCGATTCCTCAGAAAATATGGGAAAATATGGGAAGTGGGGGGGAAGACAGAAACCCAGAAAATATGCGAAAATATGGGGAATATTTTTATTTGTGTGTATTTATTTGTGTGTCCTGGGGCCCCTTCACAGGAGGGGCCCCGAAGAGCTCTCCCCGAGGGCCCCCAGGAGAGAGCTCCCAGAGAGGCCCCACCAAAACATCTCCAGCTCCGAGGCCGAGCCGCGCCCCCCAAGGAGAGGTCCGCAGCGGTGCTCCGAGAGGCTCCACGGGCCGTGGCCATTCTGGCTCAATCGGCGGCGAGCGAAGGGGGGGAAGCGAGAAGGGGGAAGTTTCGGGCTCGAGGTTCGAGGCCTTCGGGCGTTTTCGTAGGTCCTCGGCGGTTTTCCGCCCTCGGGGTGCGTTCCAGCGGCTGCGCCTCGCCGAGGGGGTTCCTGAGGTGCCCGGATCATCCCGAACGGTCACCAGACAGCCGCGTTATGACCCCAAAACCGAATTCGGCGGCGAGCGAGGGGGGGAAGCGAGAAGGAGAAGGCCCTCTCAGAAGGCGGCGGGGCTTGCCAGAGGCCCTCGGGCCTTCTGAGAAGTGTTTCCTGCGTCTTCGAAGGAGGCTCGGAGAACTTCTCAGGAGGCCGGGGAAGTTCCGAGCCTTCTGCGAAGGCCCGCCCTTTCTCACTTCCCCCCGGGGCCCGCCGCCTGTGCAAGTCTTCGGATCAAGCCTGTGGCCGAAGCAAAATTTCGAAAAAGAAGAAAGCATAAACAGAAATCTCTGGAGCTCCGCGGGGATCTTCAGGATCCGCGTTGGGCCCCACTGCGGCGCCTTCGGCGCCGCCCTTGGCACGCTCCTCTCGCCAGGGAGGGTGCTTCGGCGCGGATCCAAGAAATCTGCGCGGACACCCGTTTTTTATGCCTCTTAGACGGGGTCGGAGTAGATGGGGTCGGAGGATCGCGCCGCATCGCCGATGCACGGGCGATGAGGCTCGACGCGGAGCCCGGTTTTCTCCAAGCAGGCGGCGCCGATGCACCGCCGACGTCGCCAGTGCATCGCCGATGCATCGCCGATACATGGCGATGCATTGGCGATGCGGCGCGATCCTTCGACCCCATCTTCTCGGACCCCATCTAGGATAGGAGGCTTCTAGTTTTGATTCAAGCCTTCGGATCGAACCTCTGCCTCAAGCAATATTACGTACTGCAGTCTGGATCGATAGGAATCGAGACGCCGCCCAAACATATGCCAACATGATGTGTGCGTCGGCCGCGGAGGGGCGACGCGCACGCAAAGAAGTCTTGTAGTATAAGCCATTCGGCGGGCGCTTCTTGGCCAGACCGCCCGGGGATCGATGCGCTGTACGATGTGTGTTCTGCGTGTTCGTGTCGGACGTTCGACCTGGAGCTCTTCCGCGTCAGAGTGCCCCCCGCCCTCCGTCCCCTTCTCTTGCCTCCCTCCCCCCTGGCGTGGCCGTTGCCTCCCTCCGTCCCCTTCTCTTGCATGCCGAGCAATTCGCTTTTCGGTCCCCCCGTTTAGCCTCACGCTGGTGCGGATCGCCTCCGCCTCGCCGCCGACGAAAAAAAAGTTCATGTCGGACGCGCGCCTCCAATATCAGCTCAAGTAGTACGTCTATCTGCGCCACAAATAAGGATGACCGGCTTTCCAAGGTTAAACCTGCATCCTTCAGCTTAGGCCTCGGCCTATCCTTGGCCACTTTCGTTGCCCGCGCCCCGCTCAGAAAGTGTCGACAAGGCCTTCCAAGGCCCTTGCGTCCTTATCGTGTATCCTTATTCTACGCGTTGGCTGCACTCCAGCTCATCATGGTTCAAGATGGCCCTCGATGTTAGATATCCAGCTGGGTTCTCGACCAGGCGTGCCCGGCTCCAAGGCGGCCGCAAAGGCGCACGGGAGGACAGAGAAGTGGAGCGCAGTGTTGCAATCGCTCTGCGAGGCATCCCGACAACGTGCGAACATCAGCCCAGGTCAGTACATTTCTGCTGCCAGCGCGTGCGGCAAAGGTCAGCAGTGGCAATGGGCCCTGTCCCTTCTCAGCGAGCTGGCTGAAGCGAAGCTCCGGGCCAGCGTCTTCAGCTATAGCGCTGGGGTCAGCGCGTGCGAAAGAGGCAAGCAGTGGCAGAGGGCACTGTCGTTGCTCCGTGAAATGCGGGAGGCGAAGCTGGAGCCCAACATCATCTGTACTACAATTCTGGGAGCTGCGCGTGCGAAAAGGGGCTACCCCCGAGCGCCCGAAGCGCCCCAGCGCTCTCCAACGGCTCCAGAGAGCCCCTCGGTAGCCCCAAGACGGCCTCTGACAGCCCGAAGACAGCTCTGAGAGGCCCTGGAGCGCGCGAGGACGGCCCAAGAGGACGCGAACGGAGCCCCATGACAGCCCAAGACGGCCCGACGACGGGCCAGGTGCTTCGGAAGACGGCTGCACCCGACTCCGATGACAGTTCCCCGAAGCCCAAATCATAAGTTTTCTTTGGGTTGTTGGAGGTTTTCCATGTTCTCGCCATTTCGGGCCAAGAACGTCCCCAGACAGCTCCAGGGCCATCCCAGATCGCCCCAAGACGGTCCAGTAGGCCCCGCCAAGTGCCCCAAGACGGCCCTAGGGGGCCCGAAGATTTCCCAGGAGAAACCCAAGACAGCCTCATAAAGCCCCTGGTGGCCCCCAAGACAGTCCCAAGAGGGCCCTAGGAGCTGCCCAGCAGGCACCAAAGCGAGCTCCAAGACGGCCCGAGACCCCCTACAAGGTCACAGGACGGCCGAAGAGGCCCCCGAGACGGTCTACGAAAGCTCCGACATGGGCCAAGAGGGCCCCTAGAGGCTCCAGAGAGACACCCACGATGGCTCGAAGTGGGGCCGAAGGAAGTCCAGACGACGTCATTCCCGCAGCCCCCAATGGACCAAGAACCCTCTGGGGACCACTCCCACATGCCCCAGAGTCTCCCAAGAGACTCCGATAGTCCCCACAGAGCTCCCAAGAGCGGTCCCAGGGCCACTCCGAGATGCCCCAGAGTCGCCCGCAAGACTCCAGCGCTTGCTAAGAGACTTCGACAGTTCTCACGGAGTTCCCAGTAGGGGTCCCAAGAAGAGACTCCCATAGTTCCCACGGAGCTCCCAACGGCGATCCCAGGACAACTCCGAGATTGCCCAGAGTCGCCTTCAGACATCCCCCCCTGCGGCCGACTAGGAGTGACAGGAGGGAACTTCAACTCTGACCTCTTCCTCATTCCCTCATCGAAGCTCTGGCCGCTCTGGGGTTTCTACTCCGCCTGGTAGGGGTGACAGGGGGGACCTGCAACCACTTCGGTCGCTCCCCCTCTACGGCCGATTAGGGGTGACAGGAGAAGGGGGACCTGCAGAGACTGCGGAGACCAGCATTTCGCTCCCCCTTTACGGCCAAGTAGAGCCTTCGGTGGCCCCCAAGATATCCCCAAGACCACGAGATCCCTCCCTGGACCACTCCGAGATGGCGCAGACCCCCCAGGATATTCGAAGACAGCCTCCAGGCCCCCGGCTCCTGGAGCCTGGAGCAAATCTTGCAGCTAACCTCAGAGGTGACACGGTGGACGTTCTGACAGCAGCCTCGCAGCACGCACGCACAAGAAGCTTCTCGGGCTGTCCCCCAGAAGAGGCTCCAGGGGACAGCCCGGGAACGGCCCCGGGGGCGCTCAAACATCGCAAGAGGCTTCCGAGACGCCCCAGGCAGGCTCGCAGGAGGGCCCAACATGCTTTCGACACGGCCCCACGGACGCCCGAGCTGTTCAACTTCGACGAGCTGTTCACCTACTGAGTGCGAATCCCAGGTTTAGCACAACGTGGATTTCAGCCACAGGCTCACACGAATTAGTCTTCTATACTATAATGCCGTCGCCCGCGCTCGCGGGCAGGGAGAGCGGTGGCAGCGAATTGGCCCCCTTTGGGCTGCTCCGAGGCGCTCTGGGTCGGAGCTCGTCCGTGCAGGGCCGCTACTAGCGGCCGTCTGGCGGCCGTCTGCGTCGCCGCTGAGCGGTTCGGAGCGGCTCCGACCGCGCAGAGGACGGGCTCAGACGCCCCCAAGCCGCCTCAAGAGGCCCCCGACAGGATCCCCTCGAAGCAAAACTCGTCCCGCACCCTGAGGAGAATGTGCATTTTGGCCAAACTCGTTTTTGGGGTCTGCGCAGCGTCCCACACGGCCGCGGAGGCCCCCGAGACCGCCCCCAAGACGGCACCTGGACCACAGGCTGCCAAGGGGGCCCCAAGACGGCCCCGAAGGCCCCGAAGGCGTCCCCAGAGGGCCCCCGAGGGCCCCAAGGCAGCCCCGAGACAGCCAACTAGAGAAGGCCCACCAGAGAGCCCAGGCCAGCCCCAAGGAGGGCCGAGCTCTCCAAGACGGCTCCAGAGTTCCCCAGGACTGCCGACGAGAGCGTTGAGGGCCAACGAAACCCGAACATATCCTCCAGAGGCTCTCAAGATAGCCCCACGAGGCCCACGGGGTATGCCGCCGATCACACGGACAACCCCACGTTCGAGCCACATGCAGCTCGACACTTCAGCGCCTCATCTCCCTGCAGGAGATTGCGGCATGTGGTTTTTGCGTCCAATCATTTTGGGCATCCTCCTTCTCTTCCCCGCCGTCGCTCTCCTCCGCCACAGGCGCGCCTGCCCGCGGAGTCGGAGACGCACGAGTTTCCGGGGTGTGGAGCGACGGAGGAGGACGAGGAGGAGGAGGAGGAGGAGGAGGAGGAGGAGGAAGCGGATGAGCGGGAAGACGAGGACGGGCCAAGCAAGACGAGGAGGGGGAGGAGGAGGAGGAGGAGGAGGAGGAGGAGGAGGAGGAGGAGGAAGAGTTGGAGGAGGAATTGGGGGACGAGGACGAGGACGTGGACGAACCAAGCAAGAGGAGGAAGAAGAGGAGGAGAAGGAAGAGGAGGAGGAGGAACCAGGGGACGAGGACGAGCCAATCAAGAGGAGGAAGAGGAGGACGAGGGAGAGGAGGAGGAGGAGGAGGAGGAGGAGGAGGAGGAGGAGGAGGTGGAGGAGGTGGTGGTGGAGGTGCCGCGGTTGTTACTGCCCATGCTTTTGGATCTGCTACAGTCGATACTGCTAGCTCTGCTCTGGACGCCCTCATAATCAACAAGCAGACAGCGCACCCTGAAGCAATGAGCAGCAGCAAGGGCACTCCGACCACTGGGCATTCGTGGCGGGTAGTCCACGGGTCAGCCCTAGTCAGCTACAATGCTGGGATCAGCGCGTGTGAGAAATGCGAGCAGTGGCAGCGGGCGTTGGCGCTGATGAACGAGATGCGGGAGGCGAAACTGGAACCCGACGTTACCTGTACTACAATTATGATCGTTGCGCGTGCGAAAGGGGTGAGAAGGTCGCGAGATGCCCCCGAGCGCCCAGAGCGCCCCGCCGCTCTCGGACGGCTCTAGACAGCTCCCATGTGGCTCCAAGCCGGCCTCGGGCAGCCCCATTACCGCTCCGAGAGGCTCGGGATGAAGGGTGGACGTCCCAAGAGAACCCGACCGAAGCCCTGCACCAGCCCCAGACGGCTCCAGGGCCATCCCAGATCGCCCCGAGACGCTCCAGCAGGCTAGGCCGACTGCCCCAAGACGGCCCCAGAGGGCCCCGTGACTATCCACGAGGGGCCCCACACAGCCACTGATCAGCTCCCCGGGGCCCCCAAGATAGCGCCAAGAGGGCCCCAGGAGCTGTCCAACAGGTACCAAAGCGAGCTTCAAGACAGCCCGAGACTCCGAACATGGCCCCAGTACGGCCCACGAGGCCCCCGCGACGGCCCAAGAGGGCCCAGGAGGACCCCGATGACGGCCCCACGAGGCGAAACGACAAGCCCAAACCATACATTGTCCAAGGCTGCCCACGTTCTCACATGACGGGCCCAGAACGGCCCCACACGGCTCCAGGTCCTTCCAAGATCGCACCGAGCTGGCCCAAGAGGCCCTCACGAGCCCACCAAGACGGCCACTGCGGGCCCCAGGCGGCCCAGACCAGGCCGCAGAGAGCCTCGCAGAGCTTCAGGCTGCCCCCCCGAGATGCCCCAGGAGCTGCCCAGGAGGGCCCAAAGAAGATCCCCAGACGGCTCCAGCCCCTTATGATATGGCCCGAAGATGGCCCAAGCGGCCCCCCGGTAGGGGCCAAGAGGGCCCACGAGGGCTCCCCAGACGGACCCCGGGGACCAGAGACCAAGCAAAGACCTCGTGTGTTGTGTGTGTGTGTGTGTGTGTGTGTGTGTGTGTGTGTGTGTGTGTGTGTGTGTGTGTGTGTGTGTGTGTGTGTGTGTGTGTGTGTGTGTGTGTGTGTGTGTGTGTGTGTGTGTGTGTGTGTGTGTGTGTGTGTGTGTGTGTGTGTGTGTGTGTGTGTGTGTGTGTGTGTGTGTGTGTGTGTGTGTGTGTGTGTGTGTGTGTGTGTGTGTGTGTGTGTGTGTGTGTGTGTGTGTGTGTGTGTGTGTGTGTGTGTGTGTGTGTGTGTGTGTGTGTGTGTTGTGTGTGTGTGTGTGTGTGTGTGTGTGTGTGTGTGTGTGTGTGTGTGTGTGTGTGTGTGTGTGTGTGTGTGTGTGTGTGTGTGTGTGTGTGTTCCACTGTTTCCTCCGCTCTCGCCATGACGGGCACCGGCCCCACGCAGTGTCAGGCATGCTCGCGATCGCCCCACAATGACCCAGAAGGACCCCAAAAAAATAATAAAACCATAAATTAAGATAAAAAGAAACACAAAGCATAAATAAAACACACAAAAAATGGCCCAGAAGGACCCGACGAGCGCAACAAGGCGACCCGAGGAGCCCCAAGCTGGCCCAACACAGGCCCCCGAAGGCTGACTTGAGTTTCGGTTGGCCCCCCAAGTCGCACCAGGAGCTGCCCAAGAGGGCCGGAGGAGGCCTGAGCAAGCTCCCGTGAGAGGACGGAGAGGACCCCCGACGTATACCCCCCTGTTGTAGCATCCGTCGGGTTCTCCCTGGAGGGCCGCACGGAGCCCCTCTCGGCCCTGGCTTCGGCCGCCTACGGGCCTTCTTGAGCGAGCCCCGACGGATGCTACAACGCACCCCCTTGTAGTAGCATCCGTCGGGGGCCGCCCCCGTCCTTTCACGGGAGCTTTCTGACAGCAACTTCGCAGCACGCACGCACAAGAAGTTTCTTGGGCTGTCCCCCAGAAGAGGCTCTGGGGGGCAGCCCGGGAACGGCTCCAGGGGCGCCCCCAAACCGCAAGAGGCCTTCACGACGCTCCAAACAGGCTCACAGGAAGGCCCAACATACTCCCGACACTGTCCCAGGAACGTCCGAGCTGTTGAACTTCGACGAGCTGTTCACCCACGGTCCCAGATTCAGCACACCGTGGATTTAAGCCACGGGTTCACACTAGTTAGCCACAACGCTGGGATCAGCGCGTGCGGGAAGGGCGAGCAGTGGCAGAGGGCGGTGTCGCTGCTTAGCAGGATGTGGGAGGCGAAGTTAGAGCCCAACCGCATCAGCTACAACTCTGGGATAAGCGCGTGCGGGAACGGCCAGCAGTGGCAGCTGGCTCTGGCGATGCTGAGCGAGATGCGAGAGGCGAAGGTGGAGCCCGACGTCATCAGCTACAACACCGGGATAAGCGCGTGCGAGAAAGGCTGGCAGTGGCAGCAGGCTCTGGCGTTGGTGAGCGAGGTGCGGAAGGCAAAACTCAAGCCAGATCTTGGAGGCCTTCAGAGGGGCACACCGATCCGTCACTCTAGCATTGTGGAAGTCGCTGAATGGAGAGGAGTCATGCTGCCAAATAAATTCCAGATGCCTGAAACATGTTTCGAACATGCTTCAACGATGTAAACACATGTTTGAAACATGGTTAGAACATGATTTATACATGTTAAACACATGTTTATTTCAGTGATAGGATTGTTAGAGTGTCCAGCGTCATGGCATCCACAACTCTAGCAGGCTTCAGGACGACAGCTCCGAGGGGCGATGTGGCCCCACCAGGGGCTCTCTCGAGCCTGCACCGGCTTGCCCTACGGCCACCTGGGCCGGTCCAGAGCCGTCTTGCCAAATCCAGGCAGGCGCGCCTTTTGAGGAAGAGTGTAGCGTTAAGTCGGGCCTGTCCCTCTACAGGGGGAATATTCAAAAGATAGTCAGAGAACTATGTTTTGACTATTTGGAGGTATTTGGGGGGTACTTATTTTTCGCCCAAGCTCCCCCTGTAGGGGGACAGGCCCGACCTGAATGTAGCGAAGGAAAGCTCAGAGTTCAGCGCCTGGTGAAACGATCTTCAAGTTCAGCCCACTCCTCCGGAGAGCCCCAGAGAGAGCCCCAGAGGCACCGCAACCCTCGCAGACGGCTCACGACGGCGGCCAGACGGCCCACGGCCGACCGAAGGGAGCACCCCGAGTTCCCCACTCGGGGCATCGTAGGGAATGGTATCCCAAGGTGGGGTTGGGGAACGAACCCGGTTGCATGCTCACATCTCTTTCCTACACGGGCCGGTTTGAGCGAGTTTCTTCGAACCACAAGGGCTCCCACGAGGGCGCGAAGTTATTCGCGGTTCGCGCTTCGCGGTCCTCGTTCCTTCTCCCCCTCCTCCTCGTCCTCCTTTTCTCCCTTTGGGGGGGCGGCGCGAGAGCGCGAAGTTATTCGCGCTTCGCGCTTCGCGGAGCGCGAAGCGCGAAGTTGGGAGCCCTTGAACCACACTTCATCTTACCGCGTCCCCCCGACCCATCGGACGGGGCTAGGACGAGGACAGGTCCGTTCCAGAGCGTTCCGGAGCGCTCTCGGAGCGTTCCGGAGCGCTGTGGGAAAGCCGCGGCGCCCGATACATCTTTCAGAGCCGCCGGAGCTCAGAGATTCCAAATTCATCCTCACCCAAATAAATGTCCGCCCGGAAAAGTTTTAGAGTGTGCCCAAAAGCCCCAGTGGGCGAGCGATGGTCCTGGGCGTGGATCTGGTACACGAGCTTCCCTCCCTGGGGCGTCGCTGTTGTATACTGGGAGTGGCCCCGGGCGGTGGAGTCTGACTAGGGCGGGAAGGGTAACTACATATGGCATTCCAAAACTGTGTGAGGAGAGTGTGCCCTCGTGCTGTGGCCGCTGGCCGCTTCCCTGGATGCTCCGCGGCGCCGCCCCCGCAGCTGCTGCCGGGGGCTGCCCGTCATTCAGGCCGCTCCCGCCCACCCGCCGTTGCCCGGCTGCGTGAGAGCGCCGCCCGCGCCTGGCTCCCGCCTCCGCGGCCGCCTCCGCGCCCCTCCCCCCATTCCCGTTCTGGCACGCGGGCTCAGTCGCGGCGCCGTGTCCCGGTCTCGCCCCGAAGCGCGTGCGGATCGCCTCTGCCGCGCCGCGACGTTGAGAGGAGCACTGGTGGGAGGAGGAGGAGGAGGAGGAGGAGGAGGAGATCAAGGATGGAGAATGCATGGCGGATTGAGGATCGAGGATGGAGAGGATGCGCGAGGGGAAGGGGATTGAGGGTCAACTGGCTTCGTCTCCCCGCGCGCTGCGCAGGCAGAGCTTCCTGCCGGCCCCTGCCTGCCAGGGAGGGCGCCCCGGTGCGGCTGCGGCCCGCTCTCTCGGGGGGGGCGGGGGGGGCGGGGCCCACCCGGGACCGCCCGCCGCCCTCTGGCGCGCCAGGGGCTCCCTGGGGGGCCTCGCTGCCAAGCCGACGCAGACAGGCCGCCCACTTCAGTTCGGCGACTGGGAAGGCTATGGTCCCAGACCCCCTCGAGTCCTGAAATTTTGAAATGATTCACGACGAGCGGTTTTCCGCTGTTTTCGGCCCCGGGGGCCCTCACTGGGCCGCGGGGCCGTCAGAAAACAACTCAGGATGGAAAACCGGTCCCGGGGATTGGGCCAAGACCCTTGGGAGTCGCCGTCATGAAAAAGTCTTGACGTTTGGGGTCTGAGAAGTGTGGTTGGCGATCGGGGTCGCTGGGGCCTGGGGAGCACGACGCTGTTCTCGTCGGGCCTCCTCGGGGTGCGGTGGAAAGCTCTGTCGAGGTCCTCGCCGGCCCCCCAGGGTGCCTCCCAGGGTTTTGCAAACCACGTCTCGGGTGTTGCTAGAAGTGCCCCTGGCCCAAGGTGCCCCCAGCTTTTCGCTCCATTTTGGAGCCCCCGGGGCCCCCTGGGCCTCGTGAGGGGTGCCCTGGAGGCCGTCTGGGCCAACCCGAGAACCCTGGGGGTACCTTGGGCCAGGGGTACTTCTAGCAACACCCGAACGTCCTTCGGTGTCGCCGATCAGCGGCGAGGCCGCTGCGGCGAGCACGGCGCCCAGGCCGACTCGGACCGTCGCCTCTGCGGAAGGCCGCGCGCCTGCGGTCCGCGCGGGCGTGCGGCCTGCGGTCGGCGCAGCCTGCTTCGGGAAGTGACCTCGCCCCGCCGATGTTTCTCAGGAGGGGAAAAAACACACAGACACAATTAATCGTCGATTCCCAAGAAAATATGGGAAAATGTGGGAAGTGGGGGGGAAGACAGAAAACCAGAAAATATGGGAAAATATGGGGAATCTGTTTATTCGTGTGTATTTATTTGTGTGTCCTGGGGCCCCTTCAGTTTCGCGACCTCCCGCGCCCTCGGCCACGCGACGGTCGAGGCGGGTCCGTTCGATGTCCGGCGGCCACGCGCAGAGGGTGGGATAGGGGGAGGGGGAAGGCTTCTTAGGAGCACCCCTGCTTCGCAGCAGGCGCGAGCCTTCTCAATACAGATACAGGGCCAGCGCCTTCTGAGAAGCAGCCTCTTTCCAAGAAGCCTTCCCCCCTCCCCCCCATCCCCTTTTGTGCGCGCCGCGCCAATTCTGCTCATCTCCCTCACGCACACCCCACAGGCGCACACACAGCACGTTCTTCAATCACAAGGGCCCCCGCCACAGACACGCACCCATACCCATAGGTGGGACGGAGGGGGCTGTGGTCGAACGGGAGCACCCCGCAGGGTCCGACAACCCGCACCCGTACCCATAGCCAAGCTTGCTTCCTCCGACCCTCATGCGCGTGTGCGTGTGTGTGTATAAGTGTGTGTATAAGTGTGTGTGTATAAGTGTGTGTATAAGTGTGTGTGTGTGCAAGTGTGTGTAAGTGTGTGTGTATGTGTCTGTGTGTAAAAGTGTGTGTGTGTGTGTGTCGTTCGTTCGCCATCATGTCCCCTTTCCAGGCTCCCCTACTATAGGTTCGTGCGACACCCGCGACGGCGTTCAAGGTTGACCTTTGCGGCGCGGAAGCACCGATGGACACGGTAACGCCCCTGGACCCGACTGAATTCATCTTTGAACGATCGGGGCCGCGATCGATTCGAGGTGGAACGATCGATGCGGTGTCAAAAATTTGTGCGCGCGCCGACGCCGCGCGAACCTGCCGTGGGCCGGAGGCCGTAGGGGGCCAGAAGAGATCGTCCGCCCTCCGCGCGGGGCAGTCCGGAGGGACCCGGACCGGCCCCGCCTGAGCGCCCCCAGGACGTCTCCCGACGGCCTCGGAGTTCCAGAGACTCCCGCGGACGCAGAGAGCGCCCACTGCAGCCCAACGGTCAAGGAAAAAAACAAATCCACTCCGACCCCCAATAAACCGGCGCTTACTAATTAAACGGTCCTGGGCGCTTACTAACAGCCTTGCTGTGCTTGGTTCCTTCCTTGGGTGCTCATTCTGAGTGTGGTCATTCTGCTTTCTAGAAATGACGCCGAGGTCGCCCTCGACGGCTTCGCCGACGAGCCCCGACAGGCGAAAATGATGTAGTTCCGCAGGGTTGTCATGCATTATCGCACCTGTCCACATCTCGGCTCCAGACTCCAGACAGCTCCACACAGAGCCCAAGGCGCTTCCAGGAGGGCCCTCAAGACGCCCACAAGAGCCTCAAGGAGGGCCCAAGACTCTAGGCTTCCTAGATGTGGTCCGAGTAGATGGGGTCGGAGGATCGCGCCGCATCGCCGATACATCGCCGATGCGGCTCGATGTGGAGCCACATATCCTTCACATCGACGTCGCCGATGCATCGCCCACGTCGACGACAGATCGCCGGTGCATCGCCGGTGCTGTGCCGATGCTTTGCCGATACGTCGGCGATGTATCGGCGATGCGGCGCGATCCCCCGACCTCAGCTCCGACCCCATCTGGGAGGCCTCTACGGACGCCCCCAAGAGAGCCCAAGGTGAGCGCGACCGGCCTCCGAGACGGCACCAGGACGGCCCCGCGGCGTCACAGGACAGCCCCCAGATGGTCCCAAGGCGCCTCCCAACTGCCCCGAGACCCCCCAAGGCAGCGCCGCCCCAGGGGACGCCCGGATGGCCCCAGGAAGCTTTGTTGGGCCTCCCCCCCCAGGAGCCCAAGAACCCCCCCAAAACAAGGCCGCAAGGAGGCACCAAACATGCTCCATGAGCGACCCTGAGGAGGCCATGTGTTCGGCCACACGCGCCTCGAGGCCATTGAGGCATTCGTAAGCTGGTCGCGTTTCAGGCCTCCATCCTCGCTCCTCGCTCCTCGTTGCTCTCTCATCGCTCCTCGCTTCTCTCTCTCTCTCTCTATCTCTCCTCGCTCCTGGCACCTCTCTTCTCGACCTTGCTCGCTCCTCTCTCCTGGCCCCCCGCCTCCCTGTCTTGGCTACCGGCGCCTGCATCACCCCTCCTCCCTCTCCGGCTCTCCCTCATCCCTCCTCGCCTCTCTCTCTCTCTCTCTCTTCGGTCGTCGCTCCTGTCTCGCTTGTCGCTGATCACTCCTCGCTTGTCCCATATATCAGGAGGGAAAGAAACACACAGACACAATTAATGGTCGATTCCCCAAAAAATATGGGAAAATATGGGAAGTGGGGGGGAAGACAAAAACCCAGAAAATATGGGAAAATATGGGGAATCATTTTATTTGTGTGTATTTATTTGTGTGTCCTGGGGCCCCTTCAATATATCCCATCGATCCTGATCCCCTCACTCCTCGAACCACTCACGAGCTGCATGTTGCGTCTGCGATCACAGGAACCGAAAAGTAGCACCCTGCAGCCTCAAGCAGTAACGACGAACATCAGCAGTCCACAGCAAGCAGCGGCAGCACACGGCAGCAGTAAGCAACAGCAGCAACATGCCGCAGGCAGCAGCGCCCTGCGGCTGTCCGCAGCAACAGCACAGGTGAAGATCGTGCCCAACATGAAAGCCTTCTGGCAACATCTCCGCCGTGACCCGACGCGCAATCTCCGACGGATTCCGTGGCCAGTAGGCCACGGGTCAGCACTAGTCTATGCTACAGTGCTCGGCTCAGTGCGGGCGAGTTCGCGCTGCCGTGGCCGCGGGCCCCGGCGGCTCCCGGCGCCCCCTTGGGCGCTCCCCGGGGCGCCCCATACGCTCCTGGGGCGGTCCAGGGGGCGGCCCTGGGCGGTCGCTGGAAGGCTCCCAGACAGCCAAAGACGGCCCAGAGACGCTCAAGCGAGCGCCCGGATGGTCCCAGAGCCCGAGGCGAGCCTCAGAATGGCACGGCCTCGAGACAAGCCAGGAGACCCCTCGAAGCGGCCTAAGAAGACCCCGATGACGGCCCCACGAGCCCCATTTCGCCCCAAGAGCGGCTCCAGATGGCTCCCAGCGCCTCCTAGATCACCCGAGCACTGCCCATCAGGCTCCCAAGAGAGCCCCTAGACAGCCTAAAAGGGTCCTAAAATGGCCCAAGAGCGCCCGAAGACGGGTCCAAAGAGCCCTATGTGCCTTCCAAGACGGCTGCAAGAGAGTCCCCACAGAGCCCTTCAGAGCCCCAAGAACGCCCAAGGAAGGCTCCAAGGCGATTCCAAAATATGCTTCCCGGGCTGTCCTCCAAAAGGGGCTTTGTGGGACAGCCCAGGAACGGCCCCGCAGGCACCCAAGGTACCCCAAGAGGCTTTCCAGAGGCCCCAGGCAGCCTCGCAGAAGGACCCAAGATGCTCCCGCCACGGCCCAGGAGACACCCAACATATTCCAAGAGGGGCCCCCAGGAGGCCCCGAGTGTCGGGGAGGTGATGCAGGGCCACGTGTGGAGCGTGCACCCCAGCAGGAAGGTCATGCGGGAGTAATTACTGAGGCCTAGTCATAGTGGGATCGGCCGACTTGAACGATCTCGCGATTTCAGAGTGGCCGATCGTGCAGGGTTGAGCGTTCCACGCGGTGTCAAGGCAGCGCGGCTCGTCACGACAGAAGTTCTTCGTATTCCCTCCTTCACGCAGTCGCTGCCGCGGCACGCTCAGGCGCTCCGAGGTCATCCACCTGCACTCTTATCCTCCCCCCCGTACTCTCCACGAGCTCCACGAGCTGTTCGGCTTCGACGCCATGCTCTGTAGATGAAACCTGCGGCTTGCAAGTCTCATGTTCAGCCAACCGTGGATTTAATCCACGGGTTCGCACTAGTCACTCACTAATCAGCTACAACGCTGGGATCAGCGCATGCGGGAAGGGCGAGCAGTGGCAAAGGGCCTTGGCGATGCTGAGTGAGATGTCGGAGGCGAAGCTGAAGCCCAACGTCATCAGCTACTCCTCTGGGATTTGCGCGTGTGAAAAAGGTGAGCAGTGGCAGCAGGCTCTGGCGCTGCTGAACGAGATGCGGGAGGCGAAGCTGGAGCTCGATGGTGTGCAATCTATGTGGTGCAATTCACTTTGACTGTCTTGAAGCTGTCCTCTCCACTGTTTGTGCAAACATCCCACCCTCCCACCCGCAACTTGGTCGCAAGACCTCCTGAGATCGTGACGGTAGGTAACTATTGGCACTTTGGCACTTAGCAACGACACCAATGCCGACAACGACAGCGACAACGACGACGACGACGCCGACGACGACCACGACGACACCGACGACGACTCCGACGATTTCGACGACGACGACACCGACGACAACGACGACGACGACGACGACACCGACGACGACGACGCCGACGCCGAGGCCGACGCCGACGACGACAGCGACAACGACGACGACGCCGACGACGACGACGACGACGATGACGACGACGACGATGACGACGACGACGACGACGAGGGAAGACAGAGGACAGCGACGACGAGGGAGGAGGGACGACGACGACGGCGACAACGACGAAGGTGGAGGGAGGACGGCGACAACGACGACGACGACGACCACGACCACGGCGACGAAATACGAGGGACGACGACGAGGCGCCGGCGACGGACGACCACGGCGACAGAGGACGACGACGGCGACGACGACGACGAGGGAGGAGGGAGGACGGCGACGACGACGACGACGCAAGAGCGCGCGCGCGCGTACGTTTTTGTTGAAAACCCGTGTTGCGAAACTATGTGTCTTGTAAGTTTTTTGACACTCGATTTTGAAACCCGTCCGAGACCGAAGGTTTTTGAAGGATTTCGGCATGCATGCGCGCGCGACGACGCGCGCGCGTGCACTTCGTCCCGTTTGTTGCAGAGGATTCTCGCGACGGCACGCGCGCAATGGCGTTCGAACGATTTCGACATGGGCGCGCGAAACCCGCTTGGTAGAACTTTTTGAAATTATTGGAGAACCGATGGTTCCTTTAAGATTTCGCAAGAGCGCGGGGGTAAGTTTGTTTTGGAAATCCCTGTTGCGAAACCGTGTGTTTTTGTACGTGTTTGAGGCACTCGATTTTTTAATTCTCCGAAGCCAAAGGTTTTTGAAGAATTCCGGCATGCGCCCGCGACGCCGCGCGCGTGTGAGTTTCGTCGCATTTCCTGCAAGAGATTACTGAAAGCTTGTGATTTGTTATGTACGAATGCGCGCGCAGTGTCTTTTTGCAAAGGATGGCGGGGGGGATTGATACCGGCCTGGCTGGGATAGTAAGACTTCATATTTAGGGTGGACGACTGAGCAGAATAAGTATGAAATCGCAGTACCCAGTGGGGTAACTCCAGGGGGGGAGTCTACCCTTCTTTTAGAAAAGGAGAATCAATCACGCGCTCAACTTGAAGCTGTCCTCTCCACTACTCGTGCAGACATCCCACCCTCCCACCCGCAACTTGGTCGCAAAACCTCTTAAGACCGTGACGGTAGGTACCACATGGCACTTCGCAACGACACCGACGCCGACGACGGCGTGCAATCTATGTGGTGCAATCAATGTGGTGGAATTAATTTCCGATCGCAGTGAGTTGTCAAGTCCACTGCTCGCGCAATCATCCCACCCAGCCACCCGCATCTTGGTTTGCAAAAATCATGCGGCGGCGATTGCGATGAGTGCTTGGTGTTGGCTGGTGCATTTCTGCGGCCGCGCATGCTCGCGCGCGCAGCGGCCAGCTAGTTTGGCGCCACCGACGCGGCAGCGGTTGCGTTGACCGCTGGGCACATCCCAGCGGGCACGCCATTGCGAGTCGGCGACTTGGGCGGGCGCGGTATCATGGCAACGTCGACGACGGTAGACACAATGATAATAGTAACGACGCTGTTGGCGATGTTGGCACCGACAAGCGCGGCCAGCTCGGGCGCCGATGCTGATCACGCCGACGACGATGACGGCGTCCTAGCGTCGGTAATGATTTGTTGGAAGGCGCTCGACACGCGCGCACGGCCGACGCGCGAGAGCGGGTATATGATATTCGTGGTTCAATACAGGTTGCGACATATATGTTGTGCAGTTTGCTTGGTGCAATATTCAAGCAGTGGCGAAACGTCCTGGCACTTCCCGTGCTTTTCGTCTTGAAAGCGCCCAAGGCGACAATACTGTCTCCTAAAATCGTCACCAGAGCGCCCAGGAGTCTCCCGGGAGCGCCCCAAGACGGCCTAAGGCGGTCCCAGGACGGTTCTTGAGGCGCCCATGACGGCCCAAGAGGCTCCCATGACAGCCCCAAGAGAAGCCAAAGACGACCCGAGAGAGCCCAAGGCGGTCCGAGGACAGCCCCGGAGCCGCCCAAGACGGTCCCAGGCGGCCCCAAGACGGGCCAAGTTGCACCCAAGACGGCCCAAGAGGGCCCCGAGAGGCTCCCACGAGGCCGCCAGACGGCCCAACAGGGCCCCCAAAGATGTTTTTACAAGGCGCAGGTCGCAGCCACACCCACGGAAAATGAAACCCGACTTCGAGGTTTCTTCTCCGACGCCCTGGGGCGGAGCAGTCGACCCTCGCCCAGGACGTTCGTCGGCTCGCCACGTTCACGGAATGCCAGTAACCTGCTTCGAAGTCTTCCCCCCTGGCTCCAGATGGGGCGCAGACGTCTCGCCCGGATCGTTCGTGGTCAACGACGCCCACGAAAAATACTCCGTAATCTCGGAGGCCATGCTCCATTGCCCCGCGGTCGGCCCCCCCAAAAAACCCAAGACCATTCCTCGGCCCGCCACGTTGACGGAAGATAGCACCACGCTCGAGGTTTATTCTCCGAGATCCGAGGTGGGCAAAAGGGGTTTTTGAGAGACGTGTTTCGTCAACCTGCGCTTTGGCTCTTACTCTGGAGTTCTGGGTTTCGTTTCTGCGGTGTTCCGTCTCTACCCTCCCAATGCATGACCCGGGGTGCGGCCACACCCACGGAAAATAAACCCCGATTTCGAGGTTTCTTCTCCGACGCCCTGGGGCGGAGCAGTCGACCCTCGCCCAGGACGTTCGTCGGCTCGCCACGTCCACGGAATGCCAGTACTAACTCTTGAAGGTTTCCCCCCAGGCTCCAGGTGGGGCACAGACGTCTCGCACGGATCGTCCGTGGATCAACAACGCCCACGAAAAATATTCCGCAACCTCGGCGGCCATTCTCCAGGGTCCCGCGGTCGGCCGAGAAAACGCTCCCCAAGACCATTCCTCGGCCCGCCATTTCGACGGAAAAGAAATACCACGCTCGAGGTTTATTCTCCGAGGTCCCAGGTGGGCTCCAGGGTTCTGGCGAGACGTCTTTCGCAAACCTGCGCTTTGGCGCCTACTCTGGAGTTCTGTGTTCCCTTTCTGCGGAGATGGAGGGTGGAGGAGAAACCAATCTTGTGTCAGAGAAGGGCGCGCAGCGGTTCTACCCTCCAGCTCGGCGCACCCCTCACACGGCTCGTGGCTGCATACGGAGCGCTGCCCGTCTTCGAGGGTGCGGGCACAAGGGCGAGAAGGTTACCGTGCTTCGCGCGGCGCAGCTCCGCAAGGTGTTTGGGTGGCACAGGGTCTGGGCGTGCTTCCGAGAGGCGGCCCAGGCGATAGACGCGGAGAGGATGCCAGCCTCTGCCCAGGCCCGGGCCAGACGAAATCGGCGGAGGCCGAGTTCACACACAGAGACAGGTCGCCTTCAGGAGGGCTCCTCGCCGCCACGGCTGGACGCAGCAGACAACACTGGTGCGCTTCGACAGTAGGGGGGGGCCCAGGGACCGATTCTGACTGCTCTGCCCCTCCCTTCCTCGGCCGCGACAGGTTGTGCAGACCCGCGGGACGCCCCGCCTGTTCGACAGAGTGTGGGCCCCAACCACCAGCCAGGTGCCAGCGGCGCGCTGCCACGTGGATAGCCTTTCGGCAGCGTCACCCGGGTCCCCCTAGAACCATTTCGGCAAGATGTCGTGGACGGAGTCCACGGGTCAGCACCTAGTCTACACTACAACGCAGGGACACGTGCGTGCGGGAAGTGCGGGCGCTGGCGGAGCGTAACCGGCCCCCTTGGTCGCCCCACGACGGCCCGAGACGCACTAGATGGCCACAGAGCGCCCAAGACGGCCCAAGAGGGCCTTCGACTAGGTCCCACAGCGCTCCGAGATGCCCAAGCTACGCACCAGACGACCCAAAAGTCCTCCCGAGACGCTCCAAGTCGGCTCCAGGACGAGCCCCAAAAAAGCCAGATCAATGACAAATCGTTAGAATTCTTAGGGAAAACGAGCCTTTTTCCAGGTCCACTGCTTTTGTCCACTGCGATGTCCACGCGGCCCTACTGGCCATCCAGATCACCCCACCACGCCGCCTCTGGAAGCCCCCGAGGCGCCGATGGCAGCCCAAGAGGCTGCCATGACAGCGCCGCGACGGTCCCAAAACGAGTCAAGACGGCTCCGAGACGGCTCCAAGACGGCCCCAGAGGCGCTAAGACGGCCGAAGAGACCCACAAGACCGCCCAAGGAAGGCCCAACAGGCCTCCAAGCGCGTCCCCAGACGGCCCAGGGAGCCCCATGATGGCCCAAGAGGCGCCCAAGACGGCCCCAGAGGACCCCAAACCAGGCCCACGATGGGGCCAAAGAAGGGGGGAAAACCTTGACACTCCGAGCCCTGGGCCCCCATACGCCCACACAAGGCCCCAAGACTCTACCCCCCCAAGAGGCCTCCAAGAGCCTCCAACAGTACTCTGAAGCATGCCCCAGAGTCCACAATCTTTAATGTTTCAATTGGTTTTGATGGAGTTTTGCCGTCTCGCCTTCTCGGCTAGCCGACGCTCCAAGACTCCCGAAGAGACCCACAAGACCGCCCCAGGACGGCCCACCAGGCCTCCAAGCGCGTCCCTAGACGGCCCAGGGAGCCCCAAGATGGCCCAAGAGGCGCCCAAGCCGGCCCCAGAGGACCCCAAGCCAGGACCCCCAGGAGGGACCCAAGAGGCACAAATTGCCCCATTCGCTTCGGAAAACGTGCATGTTTGATATGCTCGCTCTTTTCGTCTTCACCGCGTCCAAGGCGGCTATACAGGCCTTCCGATCGCCCCAAGACGGCCCCAGAGCTCCCCAGGAGGACCCCCAAACGGCTATACAGGCCCCCCACCTCGCCCCAAGACGCGCCCAGAGGCCCCCAAAGGGCCACACGGCCCCGACCGCCCAGGACGCACCCAAGACAACCCAAAGAGCAGCCAAGAATGGCCAACGGGACGGCTCCGCGAGGCTCCAGGGGGCGCCAAGACGGCCTCAGAGCATCCTTGGGAGCCCCAAGGCAGCCCCAGAGGCCCCTAAGGCAGGCCAGGAGGCTCCCAAGACGGCCCAGGAGGGCCTCCAGGAGAGCTCCAAGAGCCCCAAATCGTCCCATTCCCGACGGGAAACGCACATTTTCGCTATGGTTCCGTTGTTTCGTCCTCTCAGCGTCCAAGACTGCTATAGAGGCCCTCCACCTCGCCCCAAGACGCGCCCAGAGGCCCCCAAAGGGCTCCACACGGCCCCGGGGACGGCTCCAGAGGCGCCCGAGATGGCCCAGGACGCACCCAAGACAGCCCCAAGAGCAGCCGAGAATGGCCAACGGGACGGTTCCGAGAGGCTCCAGGGGGCGCCAAGACGGCCTCAGAGCACCCTTGGGAGCCCCACGACAGCCCCAGAGGCCCCCAAGGCAGGCCAGGAGGCTCCCAAGACGACCCAGGAGGGCCTCCAGGAGAGCCCCAAGAGCCCCAAACCGTCCCATTCCCGACGGGAAGCGCAGATCTTCAATATATCTTACTTTTTCGTCCTCGCAGCGTCCAGAAGGCTATGCAGGCCCCCCAGCTAGCCCCAAGACGCGCCCAGACGCCCCCATGAGGGCGCCCAAAGGGCCACACACTGCCCTGGGACGGCTCCAGAGGCGCCCGAGACGGCCCAAGACGCACCCAAGACAGCCCCAAGAGCAGTTCATAATGGCCCAAGACGGCCCCACCGCCCCGCCTCCAAGACGGCTGTAGAGGCCCCCGCCGCCCCGTCTCCAAGCCTTTCCGTTTGGACAGTCTTCAAGACGGTCTTTGGGCCGTCCGGGCCGGCTCCAGAGGCGCCCGAGACGGCTCAAGAAACACCAAAGACAGCCCCAGTAGCGCCTTATATTTGCCCAAGATGGCCCCAATATTGTCCCAAGATGGTCCGAGAGGCGCCCAAGACGGCCCCACATCACTCCAAGACGGCCCAAGATGCTCTCAAGACTGCCAAAGAGGGCTCCGAGAGACCCACCCCCAGGAGGACGAAAAGAGGCCCCCAAGCGGCCCCCGAGAGGCCTTGGATGCTTCTCTCTTGCGGAGCGTCGAACTTCCAGCATCGTTTAGGAGGCTTCTTGGACCCTCTGGGAGCCATCTCTGCGCTATTTGGGGACGTCTTGGGGTGGTGCGCTCGAAAAATCGATTCGTGTCCTCGCACTGAGGCCCTTCTTAGTGAGTTCCGTCTCGCCGCCCACTTGCGGGCCTCCTAGGCCGCGCCCACTGGCCCCAGTGTCACCGCACTGCCAGATGAAATTATCATTCGATCCCGGCGAAGAGCAGATAAACTTCTCACGGCTACCTTCCCCGCAGAAGCTATGATGAACACAGAATGCGGCGTCAGAAACAGCTTCTGTCCGCACCATGTCATGCCTACATGGGTGTGCTTCCACTGACACCGCCTCCACCACCGCGTTCCTGCCTTCAGGCCTGCTTGCCTGCATCCCTCGCCCACCTTCCCCTCCAGCGGCCACCTCCTCCATCCACGCCGTCCCCTCCAACCCCCCCTTACCCGCGAGGCCCCAGAGACGCTCCACTTCCACGTACACGCCAGGGCGGGCAAATTCCGCGACCGAAGGCCGCGGGTCAGCCCTATGTCTTCTCTACAATACCGGGATCACCCCCTCGAGTGGACTCGGCCTGGCCCCCGGCGCTCCTGGGGCCCTGGTCCGTCGCCGGCGCCCCCGGAACGGTCTTGGTCCGTCGCCGGCGCTCCCCGAACGGCCCTCGCCCGCTCGTGGCGGATCCACGAGAGCCCCGAGCGAGCCCCGAAACGGACCCCCCAGGGCCCCTGAAGGGCCCGAGTGGCCCCAGAGGTTCTCTTCACAATGTCGACAAGGGCTTCAGGGGGCAAAAAACATTGATGTTCCATTGGTTTTTGATGATTTTTCCGGTCCGGGCTTTTTCGAGCCGGAACGGCTCCGAAGGCGCCGCGAATCGTTTCAAGACCGCCCATAAAGCCCCCGAGAGGGCCCCAGAACGGCCCAAGAGTGCCCCAAGATTGCCCAAGACGGCCCCAAGCCGGCCCAAGAGGGCCCCGAGAGGCCCCCGAGACCTACCATGAGGCCCCCAAGAAGGCCCCAGGACGGCCCAAGAGTTCCCAAGACTGCCCAAGACGGCCCCAAGCCGGCCCAAGACGGCCCCCCCGAGACCCACCATGAGGCCCCCAAGAAGGCCCCAGGACGGCTCAAGAGTGCCCCAAGACTGCCCAAGACGGCCCCAAGCCGGCCCAAGACGGCCCCAAGAGGCCCCCGAGACCACCCCAAGGAATCCCAAAATGGCTCGATAGTGCCCCAAGGCTGTCCATGACGGCCCCACGCCGGCCCAAGAGAGCCCCAAGAGGCCCCCGATATCCTCCCAAGGACTCCCGAAACGGCTCGACGAGGGCCCCCAGAAAACCCGAATTGGCGACCAAATGGATACTACAACGCACCCCCTCCTTGTAGCATCCACCAGGTGTTTTCTGCGACCCCTCTTGGGGCAGGACGCCCCAAAACAACCCTCAGACAATCCGCGGGAACGTTTCCAGAGGCAGACTGTCTGGATTCCCTATGTTTTTTTTTTTGTTTAAAAAAGTTGTTCTGGTTCTCCTTCTCTCCAGCTCCGGACCGCCCACGGCGGCTACAAGGGCCTCGCGGATCGACCCAAGAGGCCTCAGAGCTACCCATGGGCGCCCCGAAATGGCCCAGGAGGGCACCAAGACGATTCCAATACGACCAGAGCGGCCTCAGAGCTACCCAAGAGCGCCCCGAGATGGCCCAGGAGGGCCCCAACACGATTCCAATGCGGCCCCAAACTTGTCCCAGAGGGCGTTAAGAGGACGTGGTAGAGGCCCCAGACGGCCCCAGCGGCTCCCGGCAAGGCCCTAGCCGGCCCCAGAGGGTTTCGAGTCGGCCCCCGCGGTCCCAACATGGCTCCAAGACGGCGCAAGAGGGCTCCGGCACACCGCAGACGACGTCCGACCAGCTGTTCCCGTTCGGCTTCAGCGGCCCCCAGTCTCGGTGTGCGCGATCGGGGTTCAGCACACCGTGGATTCAATCCGCGGGTACACCCTATCTGCTACAGCGCTGGAGTCAGCGCGTGCGGGAAGGGCGAGCAGTGGCAGCGCGGCCTGGCACTGCTGAGCGAGATGCGGATGGCGAAGTTGGAGCCCAACGTCTTCTGCACAGTCGGCCCAGATTAGTAGGTCGACCCTGCCAAATCAAGGGTACCCCTGCGTCCTGTGTCTCGCGACCCATGCTTCCTACATTCGGCAATGTGGCCCTCGGGAGGGTCGCGTGTCCTCCCGCGCGCTCTGTCCAATCAAGGCCGACTGCATTACAAGTCTGGTCGCAGCGCGTGCGAAAGGGGCGAGCGCAACGAACTACCCCCGAGCGCCCCAGAGCGCCCGGAGGGCGCTCCCCAGACAGCTCCGGGACGCTCCGCAGGGCGCCAGGCCGGCCCGGGAGGACGCGATGACAGGCCAGGAGCGATCAAAGACGGCCGACCCCGGTGACGGCCCCCCCCCTCAAGACCAAGATCCTATCTTTTCAGTCGGCGTTTGAAGGTGTTTCTTTTTGTTCGCCATGTCGGGCCAAGAACGCCCCGGACGGCCCAGGGTGCCCCGTGCGAGCGGCCCAAGACGGCGCAAGACCGTCCCAAGAATGCCCAAAAGAGCCCCAAGACAGACCGATAGAGCCCGCGGTAGCCCTCAAGACAGCCTCAAGAGGGCCGCATGAGCTGCCCACCAGGCCCAAACGCAAGCTCCAAGACGGCCCGAGACCCCAGTAACCCCAGCATGTCCTGCCCAAGAGGCCCCTGAGACGGCCGCCCAAGAAATCGGCAAAACGGCCGAAGAGAGCCCCTCGAGGCTCTGGAGAGACCACCAGGAGGCCTCGAAGGGGTTTCGAAGCAAGTCCAAACGACAGGCTCGCCGTCGAGAGGCCCCCAAGACGGCCCAGAGGGTTGCCATAGAGGCGCCCCAGAGGCTCCCCAAGAGGCCCCCAGGACGTCCCAAGAGGGCGGCAAAATTGCCAGAGAGGGCCCCCAGAGGCTCCGCAGAGACGCCCAGGAGGCCTCGAGGGTTCGAAGAGAGTCCAGACGATGGGCTTCCCGCAGCCCCCAATAGGCCAAGAACCTTCCAAGGACCACTCCAAGATGCTCCAGATGCTCCAGAGTCTCCCAAGAGACTCCGATACTTGCCGGTGATTCGGCGTCACCCCAACATACTAGTATGGTTCCAGTTCGGTTTCGGACCCCTGCGATTTACAGACTTTATGCAGAAAGCCTCGCTCTCACCTCCTTCTTCCTCCTCCTAAGCCTCTCTCTCACCTCCTCCCTCCTCCTCCTCATTCCTCCTTCACTCTCTCTCTCTCTCTCTCGCTCTCTCTTCTGTGTGTTTTCGTTCGTCGCGCATTCCTCTTCCTCCTCATCCTTCTCCGTCTTCCTCCTCATCCTCTTCCCGATCATCCTCCTCTTCCTCCTCCTCCTCGTCCTCATCCGCCTCCTCCCCCTCTCCCCCTTTTTCTGAAGGAGTGCCATAACTTTGGGAAAACCATTGGAAACACAAAAAAAAAAACAAACAAAGAAACTGAAGTGCTGGAGGCGAAAACTTTAGGACACCCATTGGAAAAAAACCAAAAAAAAAATCCAGGGAACACCCGTCCGAAGGGACACGTCCAAAGGGAATCCCAGCACTCTCTGTGGAATCTTTTGTTTTTTTTGGTTTTTGCTGGTTTTTCCAATGGGTTTCCTAAAGTGTTCGGCTCCAACAGTTCAGTTTCTTTGTTTTTTTTTGTTTTTTTTCCAATGGTTTTCCCAAAGTGTTTGAATTGTGTGCTTTTGGGGCCTCTCAGGCGGGAGCATCGTTTAGAGTGTTCTATCGGGAACCTCTCTGGCGGGAGCCTCCTTTTGTTTGCGTTTTGGGGGACTTTTCAGGCGGGAGCCTGAGGGAGCCATGAGGGGGCCATGGGGGGAGCCACGAGGGAACCATGGGGGAGCCATGGGGAGCCGTGGATGGGGTGGGGGGAGCATCCTCCTCATCTCCCTCTTCTCCTCATCCTCGTCTCCTTGTCTCCTGATATTGTATATTCTCCTCCTCCTCCTGCTCCTCGTCCTCTGCGCCTCTCGCTTTCTCATGTTCCTCGTCTTCCTCCTCACTTCATCGTCCTCATCCTCATCGTCATCCTCTTCCTCATCCCATCCTCATCATCATCTTCATCGCCTTCTTATCTGCATATTACATATTCTTCCTCAGCATCATCATCTTCCTCATCCTCACCTTCCACATTCTCATCTTCCTCCTCATTATCATCATCATCTTCATCTTACCCTCATCTTCCTCACCATCCTTATCTTCCTCCTCACCCTCATCTCCTTATCCTCCTCATCTGCCTGACCCCCCTCATCCTCCAGCGATTGGGATGTGGATCGAGCATGTGTTATTCGTATTCCTCCTCCTCCGCATCTCCTTCCCCTTCCTCCACGTTCGCTTCGTTGTGCAGTGGGTTTCAAAGTTGGCCTCAGACAGTTTGCCCTGACCTGCCATCTTCTCACAACACTCTTTCTGAGCATGAGCGAGGAAGACGAGGAAGAGCGAGGAAGAGGAGGAGGAGGAGGACGAAGAACGGCATGAGATGGGGGCATCCATTTTTTGGATGCCCTCGAGAGCACCACAATTGCAGAAGAGAGTTCGCAAACGAACGGCACCAGTTCCTAGTTGATCCCGTTTGTCCTGCGTATTCCCTCTCCCCTCCCCCTTCCGTACCCATTTTGTCTCAAGCTTTAACTGGTTCCGCACCCCGTGCTCCCCCCATGGCTCCCTCATGGTTCCCTCAGGCTCCCGCCTGAGAAGTCCCCCAAAACGCAAACAAAAGGAGGCTCCCGCCAGAGAGGTTCCCGATAGAACACTCTAAACGATGCTCCCGCCTGAGAGGCCCCAAAAACACATAATTCAAAAACTGTGGGAAAACCATTGGACAAACAAAAAAACAAAGAAACTGAACTGCTGGAGCCGAAAACTTTAGGAAACCCATTTTGGAAAAAACAAAAAAAACAAAAAAACAAAGATTCCACAGAGAGTGCTGGGATTCCCTTTGGACGTGTCCCTTCGGACGGGTGCTCCCTGGAATCTTTTTTTTTGTGTTCTTGGTTTCTTTGGTTTTTCCAATGGGTTTCCTAAAGTTTTCGCCTCCAGCACTTCAGTTTCTTTGGTTTTTTTGGTTTGTCCAATGGTTTTCCCAAAGTTATGGCACTCCTTCAGAAAATGGGGAGAGGGGGAGGAGGCGGATGAGGACGAGGAGGAGGAGGAAGAGGAGGATGATCGGGAAGAGGATGAGGAGGAAGACGGAAAAGGATGAGGAGGAAGAGGAATGCGCGACGAACGAAAACACACAGAAGAGAGAGCGAGAGAGAGAGAGAGAGAAAGTGAAGGAGGAATGAGGAGGAGGAGGGAGGAGGTGAGAGAGAGGCTTAGGAGGAGGAAGAGGGAGGAGGTGAGAGCGAGGCTTTCTGCGTAAAATCTGTAAATCGCAGGGGTCCGAAACCGAACTGGAACCACTAATATTGTGTGTGCGTCGCCCCCTCCCAAGGGCGACGCGCGCACCGAGAAATCGTATGGTAGATGCGTCGTGGCGGGCGCTTTCTGGCCACACTGCTCGGGAAACGATCTCTTACAGAATGGGAATACTATTCTATATGTTCGGGTCGGCCGCGCGCCCCACCCCAGGAGGAAATGCAGTATTAGTATGTCTCTGTGCGCCCCAGTGATCTTGGCATCGCTCGGGCGTGTGCAGTTTTCCTTCGGCGAGGGCCATCGAGGAGCATCCTTGATCATTTGGCGAAAAAACCACGCACGAAACCGGAAAAAAACAGAGAATGGACGTCCGAGCGATGGCGAGTGATCACCAAGGCGATCGCCTCCAGCCGTGGCACCCTTCCGCCGTTTCTAGGGCCCCAGACGCCCCAAAGAAAGCCCCAGGCCCTGAAGAGAGCCCCCCCGGCCTCCCGAGAGGCTGCCGTCGTTGCGACGGAGCTCCCAGGAGAGCTCTCGCCGCCTCCCCGCCTTTCGCCGCTTGCGGCTCCCCGGTGGCCTGAAACAAGGCCTTTGGCCCAAAACACGGGCCGACAAACTTCGTTTCCCCGTTCTCCTTTCGTCCCTTCTCCTCCCCCCCCTCCCCCTCATCCTCCCCCTCCTCCTCCTCCTCCTCCTCCTCCTCCTCCTCCTCCTCCTCCTCCTCCTCTTCTCCCTCCTCGACGCTGGGGCCTCCCCGCTCCTCCCTCCATCCTCCCCGCCCCTCCGCGAAGTGCCTTCCTTCCAGGATCCAGCCGTTGTGCCCCCCTTTCAGCAGGCTCGGGGCGATGGACGGGGCGTGCAGCAAACACTTCGGGGTCTCTACATCAGCACCCGCACCCTTTGCTATTTTCCGGGGGCGGAAGAGAGGGGGGTGATGACTAGGGGGGGTGGATATCATGGCGGGGGCCATGATATTTCCCCAGATGTCATGGCGCCTCTTCTTATTTCATTACGTCCCTGGCCCCCCCACTGGGCCGCGCACGTGCCGCCGGTCATGATTTGCACCCCCTCCTCTTGGACACCCCCCTCTTGGCCGCTCCTGAATCTCTGGGGCCTCACCGCTCCTCTTACGCTTCTGCTGGCTTCGACCTGCCAGCCACATATGTCTTTGCCGGAGGGCATCCAAGAGGGTCCCAACACCGCCTTCGCTCCAGAGCTGGCCTCTTCTTCCTCCTCAGCCCCATGCTCGCGCTCCTGCGCCACACTTCCTCCTCCTTCTCCTCCTCCTCCTTCTCCTCCTCCTCCTCCTCCTCCTCCTCCTCCTCCTCCTCCTCCTCCTGTTTCCTCCTCTTCCTCCTCCTCTTCCTCCTCCTCCTCCTCCTCCTCCTCCTCCTCCTCCTCTTCCTCCATCTTCTCCTCCTCCTCCTCCTCCTCCTCCACCACCTGCACACCCCAGCACGTTTCGCGCCCTCCCGCCCCCGCTGACTCAGGGGTGACAAAGAAGACCATTCTCTATCTCGTCTGCGTCGGCTTCCTCTGGACGCTTGCACCCCTCCCCCTTCAGTACCGCTCTCCTCCTCCTCCTCCTCCTCCTCCTCCTCCTCCTCCTCCTCCTTTCCCTGTCCCTGCCCCTGTCCCTTTCCCTTCCTTTGGAGGCGGCCCCCGAGGGAACCGCCCCCGCATGAGCCCCACAGGGTCAGACTCGGGTGGGGTCAGCCGCGGGAGGCGCTACTGCCACTTCCGCCACCGCGCTCACCTCCACAAAAGACCTGCCAGCCTCGGGCGAGTCAGACCCGCGAGAGCCTGCAGGCTCAGCAGGGCCGAGCACGCCCCGCGAGCGGTAAAACTCCTCGGGATCCTCGGCTTCGGAGGCGACGAAACGAAGGCCCTCCGCCCAACCCACCTCCCGAGGCTTCCGCGGAGGGAAGACAGGAAAGGGGCGAGAGGGATCCCGAGGAAGGGTCTTTGCCCTTGCGCAGTGCCTTCAAGGATCGGCGGCCCCACTCTGTGGGAGGGAGGCAAGGCCTGCCGATCTTGATCACCTGTTGGGCGCCATGAGCTCCACACCGCGAGCACCACACCACGCCTTCCGTGGGTCCACCGGCCCACCACAGGCGATGGGACGGGTGGGCGCGAGACACAATATCAGGAACACCAGGGCACGGACGAGCAACGACCATGTTGCGATGAATCCCCGACCGACCGCGGGAGACGCATCCCCATGGCCCACGGACAAGTTTGACCTGATGGCCCCGAGGGTCCGACACCAAGTCGAGCGGGTCAAAACGGACCTTCGTCACCCTAGGGCGAACAACGTCAGGAAAATCGGCGCGCGCCAAATGGTGCAGGATCCTTCCAGTAGAAGAGGCAACATGGCGGCTAGCCCACCAGGCGAGGGAACGTCTCTGGACCCAGTCCTCGTCCCTGGGATGCCCTCTAGCCCCGAGCTTGGCGAACTCATCCGCCAGCCTGTTGCCGCGAAAGAAGGGCCAGGAAACTCCTCGTTTCTGGGCGTCGGACCAGGAATTGTGAGACGGAACCCAGCGAACAGAAACAGCGACGGCCCCAAGGCCTTGCAACTTAAACCAAATCGTGTCCCAGACCTAGGAGTAGACTCGGCTAGGGAGCGAGACTGTCCCGCGGCCAGCCCATCCACGATAGCTTGGCAGTCGGTGACCACCGTGCTGGGGGCGGCCGCGAGACAAAGGCATTGGAAAAAAAGGCCCACAGCTCGGCGAGGCCGATCTCCTGCAGAGCCGCGGGAAGAGGGCCAAATCGGGCTCCTTGCGAATTGCCATGCTGATCGACCGAGACCACCGCCCACCCCCCTCTCGAGCAAAGAGGGAGATCGGGGTCGAGGAGCTACCATATATGGTCACAGTGTTTGTAAAAATGCCACCCGCCAGCGGCACATCAGAGTTGACGAGCCCAGACTGATCGGGTGGCGGTTGCAACCGGAGCTTGGAGTCGACAAGGCAACGGAACAGCAGCGCGTCGTCCTCGGCGCGCTCCGCCCCAGCCTGGGTAACGGCGTCGAGCCCAAGACTGTCGCGCACACTATGGAACAAATCACAACGGGGCAGCCTGCGCGGGGTGTCGCCCGCTTCCTGGCCGCAGAAATTCTGCACGTCGCGGGGTCAGCAGCGCGCGAATGGAACAGACGATACTGCGTCCACAGACCCCCGGCAACGTGAGAGGCGAGGCAGGCCGCCCCTTCTTTGAACCCTTCTCGGAATAACTGCGCCTGATCATGCCTGACAGGTTCGTTCGAGCATGGGAGGGCCGTGCGACGATTCAAGTCCAGTTGAACCAGCAAGCCCCTCCATCAAGGCACGCCCCGTGCCAAGATCCACGAGCTTGCCTGAAGTGCCTGGCCCGGCGTGCTGCAGATCGATCACCCCCCCCCCCCGCCGCCCCCCGTCGATCCCACTCTGCGGCACTCCGGTCCAGGCGAGACAGGGCGGCCAAGACTGCCGAGCCGGATCCCAACACTTTGCCATGGATGGTTTCGCGAACCTTGGCGAAGGCCCCAGCCAGAAAGACAGGGGAAAAACCGCTGCTCCAGAACGGCGCGGCTCCAAAACCGAAGGGGCAGCCTGTTGGCCGCGCCAGCGGGATCCGTTTTCGGGGCCGCCGACGACGCGAACTGCAACGCGCGAGGCCGCCCCGCAGCGGGGCCGCAAATCGCCGAGGCCGAAGTGGCTCGAAAACTTTCGAGGGCGCTAGTCGAGACATCTGTGACTCTGGCTCCGTAAAAAGCCGCAGCGGCCCCTCCAGACCTGAAGATCCTGCTCGAGCGCCTGCGAGCAGACTTAAGCAGACGAAGCCGACGGACCCCGCGCTTCACAGACGCCAGGCTACGTGCCTGAGTGGCGCGATTAGGCCTGCTCGCTGAAAAATCCACACCGATGTTCTGCGCACCAGCCGCCCCATGACAGGTCCACGCCCGCAAGTTCGCAACCGAGCGATGCGACGCCCTCATGGGCGACGACGCAAGTTGGCACTTCTTGCGAGACACCTTCGAACCTTCAAGCTCACGCCTGCTACAAAGATCGGCCGTCTCTCGGGTTAACCTTGTCACCGCGTGGCCCTCTCGCCCCGTGCTAGACATCGCGCAGTCGTCTACCGCCAAGTAGGTTGAGAGAGCTGCGCCACGCAGCACCGCATCAGTAATTGGGGAACATCCGAAGCGGCGTCGTCGCGAAGGCGCGGCCCGCGATGATTCCTTGGCTGATCCGAAACGAGCCCCGAGAGATGTCGACGCCGACCTGCAAGACCCCGGGCCCCGCGCGCATGATGACAGGGAGCGCGAACCTCCTAGGATTGAACTGGAGCTCGCGGCCCCTCTCCAGAAGACGAGCGTGGGGGGCCATCTCGCAGGCCCTCTGAAGGTCCACCAGGGTGCTCGCGGAGGCCTGATTGTTGGCCCTAGCCCACTCAGCCACAAAAGCCTGACGCCACGCCGCCCGTTCGCAAGATTTGCCCCTGGCTCCGAAGGCCCAGTCAGGAGGAAATGCCTCCTCCCACCGAACGGCTCCGCCCCGTCGAAGAGCCCCGAGGGTGCGACAGAAGGTCGTGAGAATCCCGATCGTTCTACGGCCGCCACCGGGCCCCTGGAGAAACACAATACTAACTTCCCAAAGATGAGACGGAAACGCCATAACCTCCTCGATCTTCCAGAACATCTTCCCAAGACAGGCCAGCCCCTCGTGGGCGAGCTGCTGGGGGGCGCGCGGGCGCCACCCGCCAGCCCCCCATTGCCGCCCACCCTTTGAAGGCTCTGATGGCCATGCGAAGCCTAACGGGGCCCGGGCTGGGGGGCGCATCTATCGGAGGGAGGCCAAGCCCTTGGATGCGCGCGCAAACCGGCTGAATCCTTGACGCCTTCTCCTCAGACGACCTCCAGCCCCAGGGTGGTTGCCGCTCGGTCTCCAGGTCCCTCAGCAGCGCGTCCGTCCCCGCGGGCGCCCCGCCCTGCCAGTCGGAGGCCTCGTCGGGGGTCCACTCGATCGGCTGGCGCGTGATCCGATGAGCGAGCCCGCCTCCGCGTCGCACAGCGCGAGCCGCCGTCTCCCTCCAGTCCATGGCCCTCTGGGCGGCAAACTTACCCTCGAGATTGCGCGCCGCGGCGGTGATGTGCTGGATGACATCGGAGAGGTCCAGCTCGGGCCCCACATGCTGCTGCGACAACAAATCACGAAACGCGACTCACTCAGGGCAGGTGCGGGGCTGTCCAGCCCAAGACAGAAGCTTATGATACAAATGCTGCGCATCCGAGGAGCCCGACTGCCCCTGTTGAACCAAAACTTTGAAGCTCCTGAAGACGACGCGCCACCTTTCCCAAGCCCTGGCCCCAGCGGAGGCCCCCAGACTTGCGCAGGACTGAGTGGCGAACCACAGTAGCTCCACGACCCCTGCCTGCCCGCTGCCTCGCCTCTGAAGCTGAGTGGCCGTGGAACAGGGACAGCTGAGCCTCAGCCTGATCACAGAAAGCCGGGTGCCCGTTGGCCAGATCCCCTGAGGTGGCGACGGCGTCTAACCCCTGGCAGACGCGCCCCCCACTCAAGACCCTCAAGGCGCGGCCCCGCAGGAAGGTCCAGGGGGAACTGCTTCGGCAACTTGTACGAGGGAAGCTGAGCGGCCGACGGAGCCCCAGACAACCGCATTTGAATAGCCCAGTGCGGGCTGGTAGTCGCGTCATCCTGGCGGGTACATCCCAGGACGCACTGCAGGAACCCTGAGGAGACCAAGAGATAGTCCAGCGCGTGCCACTTATTGAAAAGCCCCTGCAGGTGTAGGTCCCAGGCGCGACGACAGCGGCCCCCCAGCGAGGCCCCCCGCCTAGAAGCCGAGAGCTCCTCAGGTTCAGCGCCCCCCAAGATGAAGGGTTGCCCCAAGGCCTGCAAGGCCTCGCCGAGCTGCTTCAAGATCCCGAAAGAGACGTCGTCGAGGCCACCCCCAGAGACCAGGTAGACCGAGCCGATCAGCACGCCCCCCCTGACCAGGCCGTTCAGCCACTTCAGACCGACCCGCTCCGAAGGCCAGGGGCGACTGGGGATGGGGGCTTCCCCAAGCCCAAGTTGCGGCCTGACAGCGGCCGCAACTCCGCTCGAGAGGCCTCCACCCGCGTCACGACTATGCGCCGCGCTGGTCTTCCAGCCGAGCCTACCTAGAGAGGCCCCTGCCATGCCGCGGTCCACGGGCGCGACCGCTATCTCCTGAAACAGCACCACGTCGCTCTCGGCTTCGGCCTGCAGGAAGCGCTGGCAGCTACGCCAGCTCGTGGTGTTGCATGCAGTGAACGTCCAGCAGCGCGCAGCCCCCGTCGGCGATCGTCGCGGCCGACCCGCATCCTCCGTTGCGTCCGCCCGCGGCGACGAGGAGGGGGGCGGGCGGCCTGCCGCGCCGCCGAGGGAGCGACCCCCGTTGCCGCCCTGCCTTGGCCGCGCCCCCTCCAGCACGGCCCGCTGCCGCGGGGGCCGAAGCGATCTCGGCCTGGTCGGCTGCACGGGAGCGGCTGCGCCGTCGGAGGGCGCCAGTTGCCGCGGCTCCGTCGTGCGCCGCTTCGGCCGCCGCCCGAGCTCGAGGCTCGAGCTCGAGCCAAGTGACCGCCGCCGCTCCGCGCCTGAGTGCCTGGGCCACCTGCTCGTCGCCAGGCAGCTCGGGGCGCTGGGGCGCCACCAGGCGAAGGTCCGCGCCGACGAGCTCCACGCCCACGTCGCCGTCACCCGCAGGCTCGTCCCAGCGCGCGCCCGCAGGATGCCCATGATGCGCCTGAGGCAAAGCGGCAAGCTGGAGAGCGGGCTGCACCACGCCCAGGCGGCCACGCCCGCGCGAGCGGGGGCGGCCTGCGGGGCTGCGGCCACAGGTGGGGCTCCCGCAGCGGCAGCGCCGCCAACAGGCACCAGTGTCGAGAGCACCTACCGGACGGCCCCCAGCGCCTGGGCGAGCTGCGCAGCCTGGCCCCCCTGCGCCGCCAACGCGCCGACGACGCCTTCCAGCGCGTGATGGGCGGCCTGGAGCTCGGCAGGGGGGCAGGCTGGCTGAGGCCCCGCCAGAGCGCCAACCCGAGCCCCCGCGTCGTCGTACTTGGTCGATGGTCTGGAGCTCGTGCAGCTCATCCTCGACCGCAGCGACGTGCGCGATGGCCTCCTGCGCCGCCGCCTGGGCCTTGTCGAGCCTCTTCCGCGCCGCCAGGAGCTGCGAGGACAGAATGCCCACGTCCTGCGAGGCCTGCACTGCGACCATGACGGGCTCGGCCAAGCCAGCGGCTGCCATGGCACGGCGGTGGAGGAGCTTGTCCCGCTGCGACTGGGACAAAGAGGGCATGAGGGCTCGGACGTTTGCATCACCCAGCTAAATCCATGGCGCGAGCTCTTCCTCAGACAGCACACGCCGGCCCTAGACACCACCAGGAGGACGAGAGCCCACCACATCGGGAGCCTTGGGTTTGGCCGTGCCGCACAAGTAGCACGTGCGTCGCCACTCGAAGATGTATTTTGCCTGGCGCCGCGTGTTGGCGCACGCCCACAGTCTCGCCGCCAGCCGCCATCACCCTTACCCTTCTTGGGCTTAACCATGTATCAAGGAGTGCCCCCGATACGCACTGCGAACCTCTGGGCCCCAGCAGCGCACAGCTCGACTGGGGGTGCAAGAATCGGACGCTAGCCTCGGACCAGAGGTAAGGTGCAGAACCATCTTGAGCCAAAATGGCTACGGATCTCCTCTTCCTCCTCCCCCTCCTCCTCCTGCTCCTCCTCCTCCTCCTCTCCTCCTCCTCCTCCTCCTCCGCCTCCTCCTCCTCCTCCTCCTCCTCCTCCTCCTCCTCCTCCTCCTCCTCCTCCTCCTCCTCCTCCTCCTCCTCCTCCTCCCCCTCCTGCAAGAGGCTGCAGCGAGACTGGGCTACGGGCTTCCCGCAGCCTTCGATTCCACGAGAACCCTCCAGGGACCACTCCGAAATGGCCCTGACCCCCACAAGATTCTCGAAGGCAGCCTCCGGCCGCGGAGCCCAGAGCCTGCAGCAAACCTCAGAGCTAACCACAGGGGTGACAGCCGGTAACTTCAGACAATCCCACAGCACGCACGTCTCTTCTCCCTAGCCCCCCAGCGGCTCTACATCGGAACCACATCCATCGATCATGGAGCCGAGCGTCCACCTGCTCGCTCACGACCACGTGGTGCGCCCTTCCATTGTGACGCACATCGCGGCCAGCAGGAGCGTGCTTCGCCGGCCGCCGGCTTCGTCCTGGCAGTCGTGGATTTTCCACGGGTTCACACTAGTCAGCTACCGCGGTGGGATCAGCGCGTGCGAAAGAGGCAAGCAGTGGCAGAGGGCACTGTCGCTGCTGCGTGAGATGCGGGAGGCGAAGGTGGAGCCCGACATCTTTTGCTATCCAGCTGCCTACGGCAAGTCCCGCCACAGTGCCTAGGTTGCGGGCTTGAAGAATATTGGATGGTCGTTGGGATCTCGTGGGGGTCCTCTAAGAGTCAGTCTTGAGGCCTCTTGGGGGCCGTTTTGGGGCCCACTGGGGCCTTTCGGGGGCCTCTTGGGGTCCCCTTGGGGGGCATCTTGGGGCCTCTTGGGGCCTCAGGGGGGCCTCTTGGGGCGGAAGGCTCGGATTTGTGGTTCGCGTTCCCTCTCTTGGGCTCGGGGGCCGTCTTGGGGCCCTCTTGGGCCGTCTTGGGCGTCTCTTGGGCCGTTTTGGGGCGCTCTTAGGACGTCTTGACTCTTGGCCCGTTTTGGGATGTTCTAGGGGGGCTTCTTCGGTCGTCATGGAGCGGCGGAAAACCGGAAAAGGCGGGAGCGCCAGAATCTTTCAAAAACCTAACGACAATCAATGTTTTTGGCCTCTTGGGGCTGGGAGGCCTCTTGGGCGTCTTGGGGGCCGCCATCTTGGGCGTTTTCGAGCGAGCGTTCGGCGACTCGGGGCCCTCTTGGAGCCTCTTGGGGGGCCTCTGGAGCCGTCATCGAAGCCTTGGAGAGCCCCAGCCAGGCGCCACGGCAGCCCGGGACCCCTGGCAAGAAGGGCGATGCAGCCGGGGAAGCGTGACCGGAGGCTTGGGGGGTCCCTCAGAAGACTACAGAAACCCTGCCAGGCAGCCCTTAGCATTCTTCCACGCCTCAACGTGCCGCAGGCATGGTGGCGGATAGCGCTGGGATCAGTGCTTGCGAGAAGGGCGAGCAGTGGCAGACGGCACTGGCGCTGCTGAGCGAAGTGTCGGAGGCGAAGCTGGAGCCCACAGAGATGCCCCGAGCATGCCCCGAAGAAGGCCCCAAGAGTGTCCAGGCAACCCCAGAAGGCTCCTAACGTGCAGCCCAAGTAAACCAAACGGACAGTTACTCCAGCGTCATCGGTGATCCTCCCGTGCCCCGGGCGCCTGAGCGGCCCAAGTGCGATGTCCACACCATGGCGAGCAGATTCCGCGGCCTGAAGGCCGTGGCTCAGCCCTAGTCTAACCTACAATGCCGGGGGCCGTGCGTGCCAGAACGCCGCAGGATCAATGTAGCTAAAACCGCCCCGGGCTAGCCCGGGGCCGCCCAGGGACGCCCAGGGAGGCTCCAAGACACGCCAAAGGTGCTCCATGAGACCTCCCCAGAAGCTTCCCCAGCGGGCCCCGAGCAAGAAAAAACATAGATGTTCCTCGCTTTTTGCATGGTTTTTGCCGTTCTCGCCTCGTCGGCTTCCAGACGATCCACGACCGCCCAAGAGGCCCCCAAGAGAGCCCCAAGACGGGCCGAAGAGCCCCCAAGTCGGCTCAACAGGCCCCCAGGTGGGCCCAAGGTGCTCGAGATTGGCCCAATATTGGCACAAGCCGGCCCGAGAGGTGCTCCATGAGACGTCCCCAGAACCTTCCCCAGAGGGCCCCGAGCAGGAAAAAACATAGATTGTCATTCCTTGTTGCAGGGTTTTGCCGTGCTCGCCTTGTTGGCTTCCAGACGATCCACCGACGCCCAAGAGGTTTCCAAGACGGTTCCCACACGGCCAAAGAGGCTCCAAAGAGAGCCCGAAGACAAGCCCAGAGGGCCCCCCAGTCCGCTCAACAGACCCCCAGATGGGCCCCAGACGCTCAAGATTAGTCCAAGATTGGCCCAAGCCGGCCCGAGAGGTCTCCAAGTTGCTCCATGAGACCTCCCCAGAAGTTTCCCCAAAGGGCCCCGAGTAAGAACAACCATAGATTTCCATTGTTTTTTGCATGGTATCGGCCGTCCTCGCCTTGTCGGCTTCCACACGATCCACGACCGCCAAAGAGGTTCCCAAGACGGCTCCACGACGGCCGAAGAGGCCCCTAAGAAAGCCCCAAGACGAGCCCAGAGGGCCCCATGACGGCCCCACAGGCGGCCAGGACGGCCCCAGAGGCGGCTCTGCCCCCCCCCCAAAAAAGGACGGCCCCAGAGGCGGCCAGGAGAGCGCAAACTGCAGCCAAGACGGTTTCAAGAGAGGCCCAACAGAGCCAGGAGGCCCCAAGAAGCTTCCAGGACGCCCCAAAAAGCTCCCGACGGGTTCCGGCAGACCCCCAAGGGGCGTCCAAGAGATCCCAACAGGTCCCCGAACGGCTCCCTGGAGCCACTACGAGCCTTCCAACAGAGGTGCTCATCAGAGGCGAAAGGCAACTCTCAGAGGCGAAATGCAACTCTCAGACCCAAAGGAACCGTCTTGGACGACACTAGGGCCTTCCGTGGCAGAGTGGTGGGCCCGCGCCCGGCGGCGTCCTCGGTGCCTCTGGCTCGCTTTGGGGGCTCTCCTGAAGCTCTCCTTGCCTGACATGCTGTGCTATTCTGTTCCCCCATGGGCCTTGGCAAACTCTTCGAGCCAACCAGACCGGACCCCAGGGACAGCAGCCAATTGATATGACCCAGGGACCTCTCCGCACTCTTCGGACGAGCACCTGGGGGGCCCAGGAGATTCGGACAAGTCTCCCCCATTCCTTGCCCTGTCCCGTTCTCTTCGCTCGGGGGCCTGGGCCCTCTGGGCGAACGGAATGGGACAGGGCGAACGCACCCTCCCGTTGGCGGCGTGTGAGAAGGGCTACTGCACCGGGTGACTTACGGCAGCTTCGAGCCGCTGAAGAGGGCGCCCCGACGGCCCCACGACGGCTCCGAGACGCTCCAGAGGCTGCCCCGACGGCCCAAAGACGGCTCCGAACCGTTCAAGAGGGCGCCACGACGACCCCAAGACGGCTCCGAACCGCTCCAGAGGCCACCCCGACGGCCCCAGGGGCGCTCCGAGCCGCTCAAGAAGCCGCTCCGACGGCCCCAAGGGCCCCCAGGACAGGCCAGGAGCATCCGAAGACGGCCCTCGAGGATTCCACGGGACAGCCCCGAGACGCGCAAATCGTCCCAGTCCCGTCGGGGAAGTGATATTTGTCGCATTCTCGTGCTCTTCGTCTCCGACGCGTCCACGACGGCCACAGAGTCCCCCACGATCGGCCCAAGATGCCCCTATCAGGGCTCCAAGACGAAGACAGCCCCACAGAAGGCAGCCCCAAGAGCCGCCCAAGACGGTCCAAGACAGCCCCCAGACCGCCCAAGAGGCGCCCAAGACGGCCCAAGACGGTTCCGAGACGGCCCAGACGGCACCGACGAGAGCCCAAGGGGGCCCCAGAGGGCCTCCAGAGGCCCCCTCGAAGCCGAGAGGCTGACCGCCATGTGGATAGAGTTTCGGCAGCAATCCCGCCACTCCCCCGAGAATGCTCTCGGCCAGATGTCGTGGACGGAGTCCACAGGTCAGCCTTAGTCAGCTACAGCGCTGCGGTCAGCGCGTGCGGGAAGGGCGAGCAGTGGCAGAAGGCACTATCGCTGCTGAGCGAGATGCGGGTGGCGAAGCTGGAGTCCGACGTCATCTGTACTTCAATGTCTGGGGAGCCGCGTGCCAGAAGGAACACATACCAAAAGGGGCAAGACTGGCCCCGGCCGGCCCTGGCACGCTCCAGGCTCCCCCAGGTGGGTTCCAAGACGGCCCAAAAGGGCCCCAAGACGGTCCAAGATGGCTCGAGACGTTCCAAGCACTGATTCCCAAAGATTTTAGCGTTCTTTGGAGTCAGACGTTGCGAATGAGAAGCTGCAGCGAAACTCTGCTCCAAGCAAGGGCCTCGGCAAAGGCAAGGGGAAACGGCCCTTGTAGCAGCTACCCCGATCGGTCACGAACCCGTCCAGTCTAGAACGTTTTCGGCAGCCTCTTTGGATCTTTGGCAAAAGTGCAAGGATCAGTTATCCCACGAGGCTGGTTAATTTACTTGCGGAACTTGATGTGGTGAAGTGGAGTATTGCTTCTTTTTGCGAGACGAAGCCGCATAATCTGATGATATATTTCATGGAGGCCACCGCCTAATTTCCGGCCGTAGATGTACCGTGGTACTTTTGCGTGCAGACCTCGTTGGCAACGTCAGCAGAGTTCGTCTACAGTCTGGAATAATCACTGCAGTTGACATTGATAATCATGTGGGACACAACTTTCCGATCTCCGCTGTTTGTGTTCCTCACCTTGGTCACGGCCACGTTTGTCTGCTCGATCCATGCGCCTCGTGGATTGCCCCTGGTGCCTCGGGATATGCTGATGATGGGGAGGAGGAAAAAGAGGAGGAGGAGGAGGACGGGGAGGAGGAGAGATCCCCAGTGCAGAGCCCCATCCAGCAGCCTGCAGCAGCAGCTTTGGGCAACCAGCAGCACGACTTCACAGCGGGCCCAGCCTCTCTGACCACGGGAAGTCGCAGCCCGGCCAACAGCCATACAGTGGAGACCCATGCCGAGAAACACCCTGCTTGCCTCCAGGGTGCCTTGGGGTTCTTGGTGTTCGATGGTCTTGCCATGGGAAGCGTGACGTTCCCGCACCAAAAACCAAGGGACGTCCTGGGGTCTCAGGATTGGGCTTCGTGTGGAAGGTCTCTTGTGGACCGTCCTCCGCCGTACCAACAGACAGGCACCGCGCAGCCCAGCACGCAGGACGTCATCGACGCCCCCGACCTGGGTAATCTGCGTGCGAACAGGGCCCATGATTTCCCTCGGTCACGCCCTGGGCAGCGTTGCCCCGGCGACTGCGTTTGTGGCGCGACGCCGTCCTAGGCGCGACGCCGTTTTGGGCGCCCAGACGCCTCCCAAGTCGCCTCCACTCGTTCTCGGATACGCCTCAGAGGCCCCGTGCTCACGCCCGCGAGTCCTGGAGGCGCCGAGAAGACGCGCGCAAGGCCCTCCCAGACAGGTCCCAATGATGCTTCCAAGCCGCACGGTCGTTCAAATAGTTTCGTTGTCCCGAGATCTTCGCCTACATCCTGATCTTCCAGGGACCTGCAGGGCCTAGGGAGCGAACCGTCTCTCGAAGACGGCCCAGGGAGGCGGCCCGAGGAGGGCCCCAGGTGAACCCCAGGGCGCCCCACCAAGCTCCCAAGATGGCGCCGAGACGGCTTCACGAGAGCCCCAGAATCAGAAGGCGACCAGGAGCGTCAAGACGGCCACGGGGAGCCTCCCGAAGACCGGAGAGGGCTTCCAGAAGGGGCCACGACGGCCGAAGAGGCCCCCAGAGAGCCCCGAGACGACCCAGGACAGCCCCAAGAGGGCCCGAGGACGACCCCCGAATATGGCCTCGGAGTGCCCCAGCACGGCCCCCAGACCCGGCAGCAGCAAGACCAGCGGCAGTCAGCAGCTGAGGTCAGCACCAGAAAGCAGCAGCAGCCTGCAGCAGCAAGCAGCGCCAGCGACCGGCGCAGCACCAGCACGCGTTCCCACCACCAGCGCCAAGCAGACCACCGAGCACGCAGCATCAAATTGCAGCGCCAGACCGATGCAAGCAGAAGCCCACACCAGCCAACAATCGGCAGCAGCAGAAGCAAGGGTCAGCAAAGAGCATCAAGTAGGAACAAAGGGATATACTGAGCAACGGCGACCCGCAGTAAGCGGCAGCAAATGAATGAAGCAGGCACTCAATACATCAGACGAGCAGGTCATCATTCAAGAAGACACGAAGGCAAGGTATTTGTCAGGCGAACATACTAGCAATCACACGCAAGCAGGACAGCACGCAAGCAAGCAAGCAATCATGTCTACTTAGTAGCAAACAGAGTCAGCCTCGAGCATTAGGCAGTAGCGGCAAGACGTGACAAGCAGAAAGTAGCGGCAGCACGCATTCGGAGCACCAGAACTAAGGAGCAAGCAGTAACAAGCTGCAGTAATCAACAGCCAGCACCAGAAAACAGGCAGCATCAGCCAGAAATCCGAACATCGGCACCAAAAACGTCGAGCAAGCGATGAAGCAACCAGGTAAGCAGGCAGGCAGGCAAGCATTCAGGCACACGCCAGCCAGCATGAGAGTTGGAACGTCGGAGAGAAAGCTATCGGGCGAGCAGAGTAGCCATGCGCAGATAGGGGATCATCACTCCTATATGCAAGTCAGCTGTCGTGGACGCAAGTCCACGGGTCAGCCCTAGTCTCTCCTACAATGGCCGACTCAGCACGTAGGAAGAGGCCCGGAGTGGCAGCGAACCGGCTCCTCTGGGCCCCCCTCTGGGCCCCTCCAGGGGGACTCTCGGGATCATCCGGGCCGCCTCGGAGTCTTCGGAGTGCCCCGATGGTTCAGCGGACGGTCCCACGCTCCCGAAAATCGGCTTCGCTCGCTTTGGAGACGGCCTCAGGGCGGCCAAAGGCGGCCAAATATCCCCGCAAGCCGCCCCAAGAGGCCCCCGAGAGAGGCCCCACGAGGCAAAAATCCTCGATTCCTGTTGGAAAATGTACACTTTCGGCTCACTCGCGTTTTGGGTGTGCACAGCGTCCAGGAAGGAACCGCATCCCTGCAAGTCCGCCCCAACACGGACCCAGACACCCCCAAGACGGCCTCAGGCCGGCTCAAGACAGCCCGAAGACGGCCCCCGAGAGCGCCAAGACGGCCCAAGAGAGGCCCCGGAGAGCCCCAAGAGGCTCCTAAGAGAGGTCCGAGAGGGCCGGAAGAGGTCCCCGAGAAAGCTTGCGAGGGCTTCCAGAGAGCCCCGAGGCGGCCAGAGTGCCTCAAGACGGCTCCGGAGCCCTCCAGGAAGGCTCCGGCGCGCTTCAAGAAAGACCAAAAAGGACTTCCAAAATAGCCTCAGGCGGGCCACACGGGACGCCGTCAAGACAGCCATGGACGCCCCAAGCAGCCCCGATTACGAAAAGCTCCCCGCTGGAGACATTGCCTTCTTTCCTCTGGCAGGCCCCTCTTGCAGGCCCGGGGTCGGTGTGGTCGGGGTCATCGTGGTCGGCGCCTTGTCGTCGTCGTCGTCGTTGTCGCTGGCGTCGTCGTCGCCGCCGTCGTCGCCGTCGTCGACGACGCCGCCAGAGCTAAGGCCCAGGCCCCCGCTGCGGCTGGACGTGTGAGGCATATAAGACGTAGCAGAGAGCTGCTTCGGGGCCACCTCAGCCGACCGCACGAAGAAACAAACATTTCTGAGCAAGGTTTCTTTTCCCCCCTGGCGACGGCACAGGATCCTCTTGCAAAAATCACCACGCCACCGATGGTGCTTAAAGACTCGCTGCCCCGGGGGCTGCTTCCGGACTCCTACTTTAAAGACTCGATCCCCGGCGTCGTCGTCGACGTTGTCGCCGGCGTCGTCCTCGCCCCTGTCGTCGTCGTCGACGACGCCGCCAGAGCCAAGGCCCAGGCCCCCGCTGCGGCGGCGGCGACGTGGACGCCAGCGGCGGCGGCGCGCGCGCGCCTGGACGGGCGGCGCGTTCTGGCCGCCTGGCTCCTGCAAGCGCTGTGCTTCACGTCGCCGAGGCTGACGGACGAATCCGCAATCTCAGGTGAGAATAGCAGGCGTGGTCCAACAGAGGCCGCCACGAGCCTCCAACAGTACCCCGACGCATGCCCCCAGAGGCCCAAATCCTTGATTTCCCCGTGGTTTTTCAAAGAGTTTTGCCTTCTCGCCTTCTCGGCTGGCCGACGCTCCAAGACGGCCGACGACACCCACAAGACCGGCCCAGGACGGCCCACCAGGCCTCCAAGCGAGATGGCCCAAGAGGCGCCCAAGCCGGCCGCAGAGGACCCAAGCCAGGACCCCAAGCCAGGACCTCCACCTCGCCCCAAGACGCGCCCAGAGGCCCCCTAAGGGCCCCACGCGACCCCGACGGCCCAGGACGCACCCAAGACAGCCCCAAAAGCAGCCAAGAATGACCAACGGGACGGCTCCGAGAGGCTCCAGGGGGCGCCAAGACGGCCTCAGAGCACCCTTGGGGGCCCCACGACAGCCCCAGAGGCCCCCAAGGCAGGCCAGGAGGCTCCCAGGACGGCCCAGGAGGGCCTCCAGGAGAGCCCCAAGAGGCCCAAACCTTCCCATTCCCGACGGGAAGCGCACATTTTCAATGTATCTTGCTTTTTCGTTTTCGCAGCGTCCAGAAGGCTATACAGAACAGGCCCCCCAGCTCTCGCCCCAAGAAGCGCCCAGACGCCCCCATGAGGGCGCCCAAAGGGCCACACTCTGCCCCGGGACGGCTCCAGAAGCGCCCGAGACGGCCCAAGACGCACCCAAGAAAGCCCCAAGAGCAGTTAATAATGGCCCAAGACGGCTCCACCGCCCCGTTTCCAAGACGGCTGTGGAGGCCCCCGCCGCCCCGTCTCCAAGCTTTTCCGTTTGGACAGTCTCGAAGACGGTCTCTGGGCCTTCCGGCACGGATCCAGAGGCGCCCGACCCAGCCCAAGAAACACCAAAGACAGCCCCAGCAGCGCCCAATATTGGCCCAAGATGGCCCCAAGATTGTTCCAAGACGGTCCGAGAGGCGGCCAAGACGGCCCCACATCGCCCCAAGACGGCCCCAAATGCACTCAAGATTGCCAAACAGGGGGCTCCGAGAAATCCACCCCCAGGACGACGAAAAGAGGCTCCCAAGCGGCCCCCGATAGGCCTTGGATGCTTCTCTCTTGGGGAGCGTTGAACTTCCAGCATCGTTTTGGATGTTTCTTGTACCCTCTGGGAGCCATCTCTGCGCTATTTCGGGACGTGTTGGGGAGGTGCGCTCGAAAAGTCGATTCGTGTCTTCGCAACGGGGCCCTTCTTAGGGAGTTCCGTCTCGCCGCCCGGCCTCCAAGGCTGCGCCCACTAGTCCCATTGTCACCACACTGCCAGATGAAATTATCATTCGGCCCCAGCGAAGAGCAGATCAACTTCTCACGGCTACCTTCCCCGCAGAAGCTACGATGAACATAGACTGCGGCGTCAGAAACAGCTTCTGTCCACACCATGTCATGCCTACATGGGTGTGCTTCCACTGACACCGCCTCCACCACCGCGTTCCTGCCTTCAGGCCTGCTTGCATGCATCCCTCGCCCACCTTCCCCTCCAGCGGCAACCCTTACCCGCGAGGCCCCAGAGACGCTCCACTTCCACGTACACGCCAGAGCGGGCAAATTCCGCGGCCGGAGGCCGCGGGTCAGCCCTAGTGACCTACAACGCCGGGATCAGCGCGTGCGAGAAGGGCGAGCAGTGGCAGCGGGCCCTGGCGCTTTTGAGCGACGTGCGGGAGGCGAAGCTGGAACCCAACGTCACCTATACTACAATGTCCGGGGAGCCGCGCGCCAGAAGGAGGAGGAGGAGGAGGAGGAGGAGGAGGAGGAGGAGGAGGAGAGAGGAGGAAGGAGAGGGAGGAGGAGGAGGAGGAGGAGGAGGAGGAGGAGGAGGAGGAGGGAGGAGGAGGAGAGGAGGAGGAGGAGGGGAGGAGGAGGAGGGAGGAGGAGAGGAGGGGAGGAGGGGGAGGAGGAGGGGGAGAGGGAGGAGGAGGAGGAGGAGGAGGAGGGAGGAGGAGGAGGAGGAGGAGGAGGAGGAGGAGAGGAGGGAGGAGGAGGGAAGGAGGAGGAGGAGAAGGAGCCCTCCTGCGTGCCGAGGCGACACCGGGGTGCCGCTGTGCAACACAGATCGAAAAAGGCAAGAATGGCCCAGGCCGGCCCTGGTACGCTCCAGGCTCACCCCGGAAGGCTCCAACACGGCCCAAGGGGGCAAGACGGTCCAGAGAGGCTCGAGGCGCTCCAAGCATTGATCCTCTCAGGTTTTTGACGGATTTTAGCGTTCTCGCCTTTTCGGATGTTCGACGCTGCAAGACGGTCCCGAGGGCCCCAAGATCGCCCCAAAGAGGCCCAAGAGGCCCCCAAGAGTACCCCCAGGCAGCCCAAGAGGGCCCCAAGCCCCAAGACGGCCGAAGACGGCCCCTCGAGGGCCCCAAGAGGGGGAATTCGAACTGACATTTCGTGCCCTCCGCTCCAAGATGATCAAGCCAGCAAGCTAGCAAGAAAGAACCCCCCTGGAAGCCACAGGATGCCCACAAGAGGCCCCAAGAGGCCCCCGAGTGGCCCCAAGACACCCCCAAAACCCTTTGCAAGGGGCTTCCGAGGGAATATCCCTCAGAGAGCTTTGCGACCGCGCCAAGCACCCAGGACAAGAAGGCACCCATGCGCCTGTTGTTTTCTCACCTTTGGATTGTCTCTGGTCTGAATGGGCGAATCGTCGGGAGTTCTCGTTGAGAGCGTTCCAGACAGGCCGGCCATCGGGGTCATGCTTCGCAGTGCCTTCGAGAGTCGAGTCTTCCGAGCCTACGCAGCCAGCGCGCATTCTCCGACCTCCTCGGGCGGCCACAGCCATCGTGGAACATCGTTGGAAAATAGCGCCCATATACTTATGTTCCTGAATGTCCAGCATTGGTCCTAACACGGCCTCAAGGCGGCTCAAGATCGTCCTGGGGCAGCCCAAGACGCCCCCATTACCTCCCGACGGTAAGCAGCAACAGCACGCAGCAGCGGTAAGTATTGTAGTGGCCTCCGGCCAGTGCCGCCGATCCTGGGTGCTACCGATTCTGTTTGCAACGGATGACCTTTAATGTTGAAAAGTAGAGCACTCGCTCGAGACATCTTCATAAGATAGAGATGTTGAACTCGCTTGGGCAACCTTCGGATATTCGAAAGTGACGATCTCGCTTGAACAACCAAACTCATGGGATGTTGACATAGCTGATGTATGGACACCTTTGGGGGGCGCTCCGGGGCTTCTCGGGGGGGGGGGCCTTTTTGGATGCATCCTGGAGGCTTCTTGGGGGCGCGCTGGAGGAAGTTTTCTGAATCTCTTGGGGGCCTTTGGGGGGCCTCCTTGGGGCTTCTTGGGCCGTCTTGGGCCCTTCTTGGGCCGTCTTGGAGCCCTCTTCGGGCGTGAATGGCGTCAGCCATGGCGTCGCCCCCCCCCCCCCTCCCTCCTCCCGGGCCTGAATGGCGTCAGCCCTCCCCCCCCTCCCCCCGACTCCCTCCTCCCGGGCCTGAATGGCGTCAGCCATGGCGTCACCCCCTCCCCCTCCCCCCCTCCCCCCTCCTGGGCCTGAATGGCGTCAGCTATGGCGTCAGCCCCCTCCCCCCCCCCCCCGGACAAGCGAAGCTTGAGCGAGCATGGCGTCACCCCCCTCCGACTCTCTGCTCCCGGGCTTGAATCTCCCCCCCCCCCCTCCCCCTTCAGGCCTGAATGGCGTCAGCGCCCCCCCCCCCCCCCGACAGAGCGAAGCTTGAGCAAGCTCCCGCCCTCCCCGTTTCCCAGCCTGAATGGCGTGAGCTCCCCTCCCCCCCTCCCCCCTCCCGGGCCTGAATGGCGTCAGCCGTGTCGTCAGCCCCCCCCCGACTCCCCCCTTCCCGGGCCTGAATGGCGTCAGCCATGGCCCCCCCCCCCCCCTTCGGGCCTGAATGGCGTCACCCGGCCTGAATGGCGTCAGCCATGGCGTCAGCGCCACCCCCCCCCCCTCCCGACTCCCTCCTCCCGGGCCTGAATGGCGTCAGCCATGGCAGCCCCCCCCTCCCTCCCGGGCCTGAATGGCGTCAGCTATGGCGTCAGCCCGCTCCCCACCCCCCGACAGAGCGAAGTTTGAGCGAGCTCAAGACCACGCTCTGAGAAACTCACACGCCGGATCGGCGGATTTCCACCAGCACGCGTCAGCGGCAGCAAGCAGCAGCACGCAGTAGCATGCGCGGAATGCAAGCGGCAGCAAGTAGCAGCACCCAGAGTTTGAAAACAGCCCCAGAGGTCATCATGCCAGCCTTCGGGCAGCATGTCCACCATCACATGCCAGTTCGTGCAAATTCCGTGGACGGAGTCCACTGGTCAGCCATAGTCCATAGTCAGCTACAGCGCTGGGATCAGCGCGTGCGCGAAGGGCGAGCAGTGGGAGAGGGGTCTGGCGTTGCTAAGCGAAATGTGGGAGGTGAAGCTGAAGCCCAATATCATCAGCTACAACTGTGGCATGAGCGCGTGCGAGAAAGGGTGGCAGTGGCAACGCGTGTTGGCGCTGCTGAGCGAGATGCGAAATGCGAAGCTGAAGCCCGACGTCTTCGGCTACAGCTCTGGGATCAGCGCGTGCGGGAAGGTCGAGCAGTGGCAGCGGGCACTGGCTCTGCTGAGCGACCTGCGGGAGGCGAAGCTGGAGCCCTACGTCTTCAGCTACAACTGTGGGATAAGCGCGTTCGAGAAAGGTGAGCAATGGCATCGGGCCCTGGCGCTGCTGAGAGAGATGAGGGAGGCGAAGCTGGAGCCCGACGTCATCAGCTACAGCGCTGGGATCAGTGCGTGCGAGAAGGGCGAGCAGTGGCAGAGGGCACTCGCGCTGCTGAACGAGATGCGGGAGGCAAAGCTGGAGCCCCAAGTCATCTCTTCTACGATGCAGCGATCTTTGCGTGCCGGAAGGCCCTCTGTCCCGAGAGACTGGCCGGGCCCTCCGGGCCGCCCTGCGAGCCCCCGGGCCGCTCCGGGACGGCTCAGAGACGCCCACGAGGGCGCCCGGACAGACCAAGAGGGACCCAACCGAGCCCCAGGTCGGCCCCAGAGGCCTCCAAGGCAGGCCAGGAGGCTCCCAAGGCGGCCCAGGAGGACCCAAGAGGCAAAAATACGCGCCCAGAGGCCCCCAGGAGGACCCCCAAACGGCCCCACACGGCCCCGGAACGGCTCCAGAGGCACCCGGGACAGCCCAAGACGCACCCAAGACAGCCTCAGAGCACTCATGGGAGCCCCAGGACAGCCTCACAGGCCCCCAACGCCAGGAGGCTCCCAAGATGGCAGGGCCTAGGCCAAAATCATCCCATTCCCGACGGGAATCGCACATGTTCACTATATCTTGTTCTTTCGGCCTCGCAGCGCCCAAGACGGCTACTCAGGCCCCCAGCTCGCCCAAAGATGCGCTCAGAGGTCCCCAGGAGGGCACCCAAAAAGCCCCACAGACGGCCCAAGACGCACCCAAGACAGCCCCAAGAGCAGTTCATAATAGCCCTAGACGGCCCCCACCGCCCCGTCTCCAAGCCTTTCCATCTGCACAGTCTCCCAGACGATTGTACAGGCCCCCAGATCGCCCCGCCCAAAACGGCCCGAGACGGCCCTGGGACGGCTCCAGAAGCGCCCGAGACAGCCCAAGAAACATCCAAGACAGCCCCAAGAGCGCCCAAGATCGGCCCAAGATGGCCCCAAGACGGCCTCAAGATGATCCGAGAGGCGCCCGAGACGGCCCCACATCGCCCCAAGACAGCCCAAGAGGCACTCAAGACGGCCCAAGAGGGCCCCGAGAGACCCCCCAGGAGGACGAAAAGAGGCGTTTAAACGGCCCCCCAAAGGCCTTGGATCCTTCTCTCTTGGGGAGCATCGAACTTTCAGCGTCGTCTGAGGGGCTTCTTGGACCCTCTGGAAGCCATCTCTGCGCCTTTGGGGGACGTCTTGGGGCGGCGCGCTCGAAATGCCGATTCGTGTCCTCGCACTTGGGCCCGACTTAGGGAGTTCGTGGAGCCCTCTGGGGCCGTTTAAGAAGCCTCGTGGCCCGTCCTGGAGAGCTTTTGGGCCGTCTCGCCGCCCTCTTGCGGGCCTCTCAGGCCGCGCCCACTGGCCCATTGTCACCACACTAACAGATGAAATTATCATTCGGCCCCGGCAAATAGCAGATACAGTTATCACGGCTACCCTCCCCGCAGAAGCTATGATGAACACATACTGCGGCGTGAGAAACAGCTTCTGTCCACACCATGTCATGCCTGCATGGGTGTGCTTCCACTGGCACCGCCTCTACCATCGCCTGCTTGCCTGCATCCCTCGCCCACCTCCCCCTCCAGCGGCCACCTCCTCCATCCACGCCGTTCCCTCCAACCTCCCCTTACCTGCGAGGCCCCGGAGACGCTCCACTTCCACGTCCACGCCATGGCGGGCAGATTCCGCGGCCAGAAGGCCGCGTGTCAGCCCTAGTTAGCTACAATGCTGCGATAAGCGCCTGCGAGAAGGGGGAGCAGTGGCAACGGGCCCTGGCGCTGCTGAGCAACATGCGGGAGGCGAAGCTGGAGCCCAACGTCATCAGCTACTGCGCTGGAGTCAGCGCATACGGAAAAGGCGAGCAGTGGCAGAGAGCCCTAGCGCTGCTGAGAGACATTCGTGTGGCGAAACTGGAGCCCGACATCATCAGAGTGGGGGGCCCCGAACGGTCGTACTTTCTCCCTGTGCGTGCGTCTTTGGATAGAGGGCTGGCCTCTGGGGTCTACACACGGGGGCTACACTGGGAGGGCTGTACAAGGGGGCTACACGCTACGCTACGCTACTCCCGATCAGCCCGAAGGCCGTGCCAATCTGGAACTCGGGGGGGAAACTTGGCCCGTGCCTCCGGCACCCCGGCAAACGTGCGATCGTCTTACATGGATTGCTTCTCGGGCAGGCAGGGGCGGGCAGCGAAAAATGGCGGGAGAACAGGGGCAGAAGGGAAGAAAACCGTCAGATCTCGTTCGCGGGACCTTCACGAAGAACTCCGCGCTGACAGGCACAGATTCAGTCGGTCCACCTCTGAAGCGGTCGGCCTCAATGGCGCGTTCGACTAGGTCGCCAAGCATACGAAGGAGAACACCACTACGACAGAAGTCCGTGTTGAATTTGTTGGACTAGCAAATCTCTCTGGCGGTTGCGCCTGTTGCTCCATTCTGTGACTGGATGTTGCGCTAGAGCCGCCTCCAGCCAGCGCTTCATGCGATGGCCAGTAAGCTGCCATGCTTCCTCCTCCAAACGTACCCACCCAACTATGCGCCTCAACATGTTCCTCTGTAGCGCGTCCAGTTTTTCGAGGTCTTTCTGAGTGAGTGGCGTTGTGGTCAGACTGTAGAGGACAGATGGCGTCACCACGGAGTCGAACAGACGCAGGCGCAATTTTATCGGAATGCTGCGGTTCTGCATGGTGTCTGCAAATTGATGATAATTAAACCCAGCGTACTTCATGCGGTGCTCCAAGATGCACGTACCGCGCATCCCCAAATCGCCGCTCAGCAGCAGCCGGTCAAGGGGTCTGTGCGTGCCCGCGTGCTTGACAACCTCCACCATCCTGCCGCCGGCATCGAGGAATAGCGGGACCTCGTCTGCTGCAACGTTGACATTTGTTGTCAGAATTTTCGTCTTCCAAGTGTTGACTGACAAACCGGCTCTGTTCAGAACCTCCACGAGGCAATCGAGCATGAACACTGCATCATCAAGCGACCGATGAAATAAGAGCAACTCGTCTGCATATCGAATGTTAGTCAAGCGCCCTCTCTGCGGGTTCAACAAGAGACCGCAGTTGCCAAACCGAGCCTGCCACCGGCTCATTACCGCTTCCATCAAAGCGTTGACGAGCATCGGACTAGTCACATCACCCTGTGTAACACCGCGTTCAATGTCGAACTGACAGATATTCACCATTCCGCGTGGAGCGGTGTACAAGCATTGAAGCGGTGTGCGGTACTCGATAGGAACTCCTTTTTCTGATATGGCAGCGAATAGCGCGCTTTGTTGAATCCGGTCGAAAGCCTTGGTCAAATCGATGTTCACGGTCCATACCGGCGAATCAAGTTCGATTGGTTCTTGAAAAAATCTTGGCGAAGGACCCAACAATATGCAGTTGTTGGTACCGCAATTGTGAACATCTTCTTCGGTGAAAGTCCCTATGGGGTCACGAAGCGCTGCACTGGGTGGGGGGGAACGCTGTTCTGGGTGAGTGGTGTGTCAAGTAAGGTTTCCGGGACGCACGCGGCCGGTCCCATTGGGTGTTTCGGTGGAGCTCCCTATGGGGCCACGAAGCGCTGTACTGGGTAAGTGAAAGTGCAAAATTGGGCTTCAGGGGCGCACGCGGACGGTCCCACTGGAGGCTTCGGTGGAGCTCACTAGCGGGCCACGAAACGTTGCGTTGGGTGCGTAAGAATGCCACGTTGGGTTTTCGGGACGCATGCGGACGGTGGCACTGGGGCCTTCGGTGGAGTTCCTTACGGGGCCACGAAATTTTGAACTGGGTGGGTGAAAATGCCACAATGGGTGTTTCGGGACGCTTGCGGACGGTCCCACTAGGGCCTTCGGTGGAGCTCCCTGTGGGGCCACGAAACGCTGCGCTGGGTGGGTGAAAATGCCACATTGGGTGCGCGGGACGCATGCGGACGGTGGCACTGAGGCCTCCGGTGGAGCTCCCTGTGGGACCACGAAACGTTGTAATGGGTAGGTGAAAACGCCAAATTGGGTGTTTCAGGACGCGCTCGGACCCTCCCACTGGGGGCTTCGGTGGAGCTCCCTGTGGGGCCACGAAGCGCTGTACTGAGTGTAGGGGACGCATGTGGACGGTGGCACTGGGGTCTTCGGTGGAGCTCCCTATGGGGCACGAAACGCTGCACTGAGTGGGGAGGGCGCATGTGGACGGTAGCACTGTGACCTTCGGTGGGGCTCCCTATGGGGCCACGAAACGCTGCACTGAGTGGGGGGGACGCATGCGGACGGTGGCACTGGGGCCTTCGGTGGAGCTCCCTATGGGGCCACGAAACGCTGCACTGAGAGGGGGGGGGCGCATGTGGACAGTGGCACTGGGGCCTTCGGAGGAGCTCCCTATGGGGCCACGAAGCGTTATACTGGGTGGGTGAAACGAAGGGAAGGGGGGGAGGAGGGAGGAGGGGGAGGAGGAGGAGAGGAGGAGAGGAGGAACGCGAGGACCGTCTCTTCAAAACGAGGACCCAACACCACAGGATGGTTGGGAAAAAAAACGCTCTCGAGTATCAAGAGCGCGTGCTCTGCCCCAGCGGCGGATCGAAATCCCAGCTGCTCTGGCGGCTGGCAGGGCTCCAGAAAAGGCTACACGCGGGGGCTAAACGTGGAGGCTGGTCGCCGTTTTTTGGGTTCGTTGTGTCGCTGATGGGCGCTCCCCCCCCATAGACCAGATCTTGGCTGCGTTGGGCGACTGGTGAGGAGCCCTTCCCCAGGCGTGCTGGCGCAGCTGGTCGAAGCAGATCGACGAAGCACCCGCCCGGGGCCCAGACCCTCCCGCCCCCCACTCGACTACACGTAAGAGTGACCCTTCGCCGGAGTGACCTTTGGTGCGCGCTCACTGGGGTCCCCCGATCGCCGCGCTCGTTGCGATAGTAGCGCCCTGCGAACCTGTGTTTGGCCTCCTCGCGCCCCCCAAAAAGCCGCGCACCAAAGGTCACTCTTGCCCAGGGTCACTCCTACGTGCAGCCGACACACTCCCCCACCATCCGGCCACATGTCGAAGCCCAGAATTAAAAAAGCGCCCACCCACGCATCGGGGCTACACCTGGGGGCCACACATGGTGGCTACAGTGGGGGGGCTTCACCTGGGGGCTACACTTGGGGGCTACACTTGGGGGCCACACTTGAAGGCTGCGCTTGGGGGCGGTTGGGCTCCAAGACGGCTCAAGAGGCCGCCAACATGGCCCCAAGACGTGCTCAAAGGCGGCCCAGGAACGCACCAAGTTGACCCCATGGCACCCCTCGAACCTCCCCAGACCCTCCAGGAGGCTTGGGAAGGCCCCATCGGAGTCAAAAGAACCCCAAAGAAGGGCCCCCTAAAGGCCCTAAGCGACCTCAAGGAGGCCCCCGCGAGAGACATCCCGAGAGGCCTCCCATCATGAGGCCCCAAGAGACCCCCCAAGAGATCCCTCGACCCTGCCGCCTCCTCCATCAGCGGTTCTATCTCCTCGGGCGTCGCTACTCTTCGCTGTTCGCTGATCGCTCCTCGCTTCTCCCCCTCCCCTCTCGCTCTTCTCGATCCTGTCTCTTCGACCCTCCCCTGGCAGCAGGTTGCGCCAGCAAGCTGCAGCAGCGAGAAGCAGCACCATGCAGCATTGAGCAGCAGCAGCAGCGAGCAACTGCGGCAGGAAGCAGGTAGCAGAACCAGCAGCACACAGCAACAGCAAGCAGCATCAGGCAGCTGGCAGCGGGCAGCGGACAGCAGTACGCACACAGCAGAACTAGCCATCAGCAGCACCCTACAGCCACAAGCAGCAACAAGTCCCAAGGCGGCCCCCAGACGGCACAAGACTGACAATACGTCGCCAAGACGATTCCACGACGATCAGACGTGCCTCCAGAAGGCCGGACCAGGCCAGGAGGCCCCCCAAAACGACCCGAATCTGCCCCAAAACTGGAGGTGTTCGATATTGCTTCGCAATCACTGCGAATCTGAGTCCGAGTCCGAATCCCTCTGAATCGACCCCCCGACCTTTGCGGGGGTCTGCATGGACTGGCTTCTCCCCCTGGATCGATTGTTGACAGCCCCAGAGTTTGAAAACAGCCCCAGAGGTCATCATGTAAGTCTTTCGGCAGCCCCAGAGTTTGAAAACAGCCCCAGGTTTGAACATAGCCCCAGAGTTTGAAAACAGCCCCAGAGGGCATCATGTAAGTTTGAAACAGCCCCAGAGGTCACCATGCCAGTTTGTGAAGCTTTCGTGGACGTAGTCCAAGTCCACGGGTCAGACTTCGTCGGCTACGGCGCTGGGATCAGCGCGTGCGAGAAGAGCGAGCAGTGGCAGCGGGCTTTAATTGTGCTCGGCGAGATGGGGGAGGCCCTGTTGGTGCCCGACGTGATTAGCTGCCATGCTGGGATCAGCGCATGTGGACGATGCGTGCAGTGGCGGGAGGCGTTGTCGTTGTTGAGCGACATGCGGGAGAGTTCCTCGGAGCCGAACGCAGACAGCTACAATATGGGGATCACAGCGTGCGAAAGGGCCTCTCGCGGCTCCGCAGGATTCCCGGGCTATCCTCAGATCGGTCTCTCGCGCTTTCGAGCATCCTACGGGGCACTGCTCGCGCGGGGCCCTGGTGGGCAGCCGCCGTGATGCTCTCGGCGGGCAGACCCGTTTGCCGGTCATGGCCCGCTGAATTCTGGGACGCGTCCGCGCGGGAAGCCGCGAGCAGCGGCCGCTGGATTTGCCGCTGGCAAGCGAGATGGGGAGGCCGACGCTGAAGCCCAGCGTCAC